TGTTTACGAAATTAAGAGGACGAAAAACGAATGTCCGGCACTTTAACTGGATCCCAAACCAATGATGCATATGGTCTCCAGTATCCTGAAGGAACAAATGGCATATGAACCAATTATTGGTTACCGGCTACCATGGGACTGCATCTATTAACGTTGCTTCACTGCCTTGTGGATCAGACCTTCAGGTCGAAAACTCCGGGTGTGGCCCCCTAAGAAAACCACCTGCTTCGGTTTGGGCACCCAGACAGTATCACAGTCCTCACACATATCGAATGAGATTTGTGTGGCGCATGTGTATTTGGTGCCTCGTTGTATCAATATATATGTGTTAAAATAAATAAATACTTTTCAGGTGACAAGACGTGATATCGGTGGAGGTAAACGAATAAGGAAGTAGGATAGCACCGAATGATGGTGGTACAGTAGTTCGAATTGACTGATTTTAGAAATACAAGTATTAGAAACGGGCTTAGTGGTTAAAAATTGACGGACTCGCACAAAGCCTGACAGATCTGGTTGATACCATTGGTGGGGTTTTGTCTGAGAACTATTGAAAAATTTGTTATGTGGATTAATAAGCGGTGCTATACTAATTAACCTTCAACAACACCCAAACCGATTGCGATCTGTGACAGTAATGAACTAACACCTAAGGCCAAACCACGTATTGAAACGCCTTTATTTGTAACAGATAATTTACCACTCATGAATTTAGGTTTTCATTAGGATTCTAAACCATATTATGGATCGATTGTGACTGGGCTGCTAACTTCTTACTGGTCTTTCCAGAAAACGAATATCTCAATGTTTCTGTTGTGAACTTATTATTTCTTTTTAAAAGGAGAGTTTCTAACATTAATTACCGTGAATTGATAGTGTAAATTAGATGATCAGTATCTTCATATAACATACGTATAAAATTTCTATGATGGTAGTATTTACTTGTTTGGATACATAAATATTGAAACAAAGGGGCACCAAATACATGTCACACACTCACTTTAGTTGTGTGTGGGCCATGATACTCTGCTCAGACCGAACAAAGCGGATTTATTAGGAGGACACACTCGGAGCCTTCGACCTATAGGTCTGATCCACAAGGCAGTGGAGCAAAGTCAACAGATGCAGTCCTATGGTAGCTGGTGGCAAACGATTGGTTCATACGATATTCGTTCCCTCAAAACCTTGCAGCCCATGTACACCATTGGTTTGGAGTCAGAGTTTTCCGATTCCCCTAGGTAGATCCTCTATATCCACCAACCCGCTTAAAGCGCCGAATATTCACTTTTCGCCCTCTCAATTTCGTAAACAACACCCGTGATGCGAGAAAGCAGTTAGTAGAACTTCTCTGTCAGTGGTTGTATGCACGTAGTCATGTGAGAGCATTTCGAGACAGGGAGCTAACTCTCCCCACCCTCGGCCGCACCAAGGCATTTGGGGGCTAATTTTATAGGAATAGGTTTCTGGCATGAATAGTTGCCTCACCCTAAACGCGCCAAGAAGTAAAAAGTATACCCACATGGTAATAATAAACTAAAAGAAACCATCATTTTCTTGTCGATTGATGTAGCTATATGTGTACACATATTCTCTTCTTATTTAGCTAATTAGACTGCACTATGGGTTTTAAAAGTCAGAAAGATACTGAGTCACAACACGCTATTCATTAATTTGCACACATGGCAGAGTCTACTCTGATACAAAAGCATACCAAGAATGGGTGACCTAAATGAAGCAATAATTTGTGGAGGAAAACACGGAGTGGCGTTAGAGATGGTAAATATATGAAGATGTAGTATTTATTGAGTGATAATGTCTTGTTACGTATACAGACCGATCTCTTATGTACAATGCTTACACGTTATAGTGAATCGCTTTGTCAATGTATTTTAAACTCATTTAGATGAACTCCCTTCCTCCACCATGAAATCCACATCTCTACTTATTTACAATTGACTACGCGTCCTGTCCAGGAGTATCACCTCACACGACTTAAGTATAAAGATTGAAATTTATCCATATAAGCTTGAATTAACTTGAAACTATGTTTACTAGGACATATTCAAAGCTGTTTTTGTTCGCTTGAGCAACCCGCATACATAAATGATGACACAAGACTATAATTCGAGTTATCTATTTATTAAAAGAACTAGATAAATCAATATCTTTGTTGTTCATGATGTATCGTCGGCCAGTTAAGAGGTAATGAAATGTATGTAACACAAATTATTTCGTCACCTAGTAAGCTATATGCAATACTGTGTGTATACATCTGTTTTGTAGAGACAAGGTATCATTGTAACTACTTAAATATTGATGGTCGGGGGGGGATTGATAGCGAAACCCTAAACCACTTAGTTCCAGAATGTGCTGCATGATACATCTGGTATTATTTCAGGATAATATTAAAGGCAATCTAAGACTAGACAATGTCTTGATCGAATACAAGTTCATTAGGATAGCTAGAAGTTAAATTTTTATTTTGCTGGACAACTGCAAGCCCTAATACCGTTGACAGTGACTTTCAGGTATCTATTCAGAAACTAGTTTAGACTGCGACAATCCGCTGACATTGAATATTTTCTTGTCTGCAACCCTTCCCCTTCAAAATTAATAGGTTTTGTAGATAAACTCCCAAGGTGGTAGAAAACTAGTCAAATATAATACAATACTTGGGCTGCAGACTGAATGATCAATTTTGCATTTCTACACAGTATAACTGACATCTCTTTATGAAACTAATTAGTGGTCCTGGTAATGTCACACCCAATCATAAATATTCAACGGGAAAGCCTGAACTCAATATGAAGGGACACCACTGAATCTACTGATAAAACATTCAAGAAGCTGCTTCAAAAACAATCCTGGCTACAATGACGAATACCACCATTTTATATAGTTTATGTAGCAAGTGTTTGGGTCCATTCAAACAAGTTTAGATGGCTTTTTCATTGTTGCTTAGTTTTAGGAATTGTCAGTTAGTGTAGTACACTGGTAGACCGGCTTGCAAGCAGTTATCACAGTCGCATTGCATTACCAAAATATAATATTGAACAAAGCCATTAATAATAATAATAACTAACCAACTAGTATTTCACTACTCGTTGTTTTTAACTAAAGTCACATTTAAAACAACCAAAACCAATAATAACAATACCAATCATATCTGTACTATTGATACTACTGAAGGGGACACGAAACCCTTAGCTGAAACATTAATGAATAACAGTTATTCATTGAGATTTATAAACCGTTGGAAAGGTGGCATTACGATGAGATCTGTGACATTTTTGGAACCTAAAAATCGAGTCTGTATTATCTTGCTCAAATAGTCTCATGTTGAAACGAAGACCTAAATTAGTTACTAATAGGATATTTTGTGCAGTCCAGCACGTCATTATCAAAAGGTCAAGGTCCGTGCTTCACCAGAAACCCAAACAGCATGCAAGTGATTGTGTTACATCCCATTGTCTATCAATTTACATGTATGCGTAGAAGTATGTACATAGGAAGGAACGGTCGTAAGCAGCAAGTAGGGGTGGCAGAACACATACCTAAGTTCCCACAAAAACAAGGGAACTCCAATGATCAAATAAGATTACAGGATAGACAAATATCTTCCCCCACTGAGAAACATTTTGTTGAGACAGGTAATAAGGTTGATATCAAGTTAATCTTTGCAGTTTTGTACGAACGTTTTCAAGTGCATATACTAAGTTTTGTTAAAGCCTTGGTTATACGAAAATTAAAAACCCCTTTATGTGTCTAAAAACAATTTGTTTTTATCCTTAACCTACCCTGGTAATACCGATCTATTAACCAACGTGGTTTTCACATTGTCCTCGTGTACTTAATTATTATTATCTTTGTCTCTCCATACCGTTTAATTTGTCTAGTTGACCTTATATTTTTCATACATGATGTCTTAACAAGTATATGTGCGATCAGATTGTTCGAAACATATTGCACAAATGTATCACATAATTCTGATAACCTTCGTCTTTTCATAGCAGTATCCAAATTCATAGAATACATGTACCTCAATGACCTATTTGAGATTCCTCTGATAGTGTGGGTTAAACTGGCTATAAAAGTCAAGTTACTATATGGCGGATCAACTTCTTGATGCAACTTTTTAACCAGAAATTTAGTGACTAAATGTTAATTGTATAGAGCGCAGAACAGTGATTTGCATTGAGGATCGTCACAATAGTGAGACGATCAGTTAGCCTCGACTATAAGCTCATGAGCAAATGTACGTTCTAATTATATAGTCAGAAGTCGGACAGGCTAACAATTCATAATTTTATGTAACATATTCTTATCACTCACATTTGGTACAATTAGTGAATTATTAGACAAGTTATCATTTTTCATGATCAGTGTGCATCTACACGAATACGTGGAGAATTGAGTTAAATAAAGGTACAGTGAGACTGAGCAGACCTACCAGTTAAAATCGTTACATGACATTTAGAACATGAAAATCCACAGTCATAAAATATCCCACGTAAGAGACAGCTTGAAGTGTACTTTAATAAAATATCCAACCAAAATTCGCACCATGTTGACCCCTAAGAACGCGACGAATATGATGGATTAGGAGAAAAAAGAGCTGTTGTTCCGTAGCCCAAAAACTAGTTTCCAACTAAAATCACAAGTAAGAAGTTTACCACGACTACCACAGATTAGCGTTTCACAGTGAAGCTCTGTATCACAAAAGAAAACGTATATACTTCCTAAGTACCTAACTGTCAAGAAAACCAATAAATACAAATGATTGAAATGAAGCTGTGAAAATTTGTGACAACCACCGTGTTGTTAGGTAAATATCAGCGACAAGAACATATCTATAGGAGATAAAATTCAGATTTTATAAACGATCTACAGTTTACTTCATAAAATACAACAAATTAAAAAGGAGCAAAAATTAACTTTTACAGCTTATATGTACATATTTACACAAGTTCCGCGGTTAAAGAAACATGAATGGGAAGTATTTACTTAAATGACTGTATTGTATATGGGCTGGCAATAGGTTGGAAATAATCAGAAGGACAACGACACACTAGTTTACAACAACGCAGATCCCTCAGTACATCTTCTTCCATACCTATAAAAGTAAGTAAGAAAAAACCAAATAACCTATTATATAATCTGATGGTCGGAATTCTTCATCCCTGCAACCTGAAGATGGGATCAACCAAGTTAAGAAGCAGCAACTATCACCAACCAAATCAGTAGCCAGTCCTGATACTCACATTAATAAAGACTTATTACCTCTTATTTGGGCATAGAAAACTTCACCATCAACATCCAACAGCGAAACTATATCGCCCACATGATACCAAACATTCTAGAAATAAGACATTACTAAGATTAAAGCAATATAGTCAACCTCATGGTAGACACAATTGCGAAGGCTGATAAGAGCTGGAGGGTTTCCCAATTTTTGCGTCTGGTGGACACTAAGAAATCAATATACAAATTACCTGTTTTTTAAGTACGTGACGTCGGGAACGTGATTTTTGTGCGGTTCCTTTACCACTGTAGTTACCATACAATCCTCTACTTCTGTTTGATAAAACTCTGGATCTCATAGATTTCCTTGTTTGAGATGCTGGTTTTACTTTCGGCAGACCAGAAACAAGACTGGATTCACTTCCAAGCTTTTTACATCGAGTCCTCGTTAGTGTTCGGACAGACGTCTGGGAAGTTCCATCGGAATTAGACGCCTCTGATATATCTGGAACACCTACTGAGTAAAATAGAGTATAGTAAGTACTTCGAGCTTCCAAATCGGCATCAGCAGCAACCTTTTGGCCATCAAGACACTGTAGCATAATAAAAATATAGTACCGCAGTTGTTGAAAAATCGCGATTCAGCTTCTTCAATTTCAGTCTTTGAAAGAGACACTACGAAATTCTACTAAATTTTGGAGGAACTAAAATAGATTGAAAAAACTAAATGTTTTCATTACGATTAAGCGTAAATGAACGAATTTTTTCACTCATGGGTCTTGATGTTGAAAAACATTGAAAGTGCTTGGATTAGAGGGATGTTGTTATTTGAAATAAACGTTGCAACGCCATCATGTAGTCATTTGACTAGTCACATCGGAGCCTTTATAATTAAATCAGAGAGTGAAGTTAACCGAAACTGGGACGAGAGGGCAGAACAGAATATGAAGAATGAGAGAATAATGATCAATACGATTGAGTAAAAGTTTAAACATCACGAAGCATAGAGAAGGCGAAATTTTGTTTTGACTCGGACATCTATTCACCATTCTTGTTGTAAGGAGGTAGTCCATAATTGTGTGCATGCTCTCTCAGAAGTCCCTTGAAGTCGGTTATTGAACGAACTGTGGTACCATCCCCTGGGATTGGTAGCTGAAATGAGTTTTCACTTTGGTAAGCTCACCTTAGAGGGTTACTTCATGTAACCCTATAAAAACCCTCGAGTTTAGCTACTCTGTTGAATTTCTGGTTACGCTATAAGCTTGTCTTTTGCTAGCTGCTGACAACAGACCCTGGTGCCGTGGACAGTCTGCATTAGGTATGCTCCCAAATGCTGCATTTCACTTTCCACAAAGTATCCTTCATCAGGAGTTCAAATGCCATATTTGGAATAAGCGAATATAGAAAGTAATGTTTATTAACTTTGTAAGGTGCTTAGAAAAGTAGTTTTGTGGGGTCCGTGAAATGTCATTGGGCCCTAGCCATATCATCTGGTGGTCGGGTCACTAAATATCGAACAGTTCACCGGCCCTCGTCAAGTTCAACCACGACTGACGCGCATCAGTTAATAGGACGCCATTGACTGGTTCATGCGGTGATGGTCTCAACCTCTTCCTTGTGTTCGCTCTTACTAACATGTTTGTATAATAACATATTTTGTGTTATTCAGTTTTTAGAGTAGCCGAAGTATTTTAATATGACGAAAGGACAATCCACGTTAGGTGCTGACCGCGATGTGTGACTTCGAAGGTAGCTAGTTCGTCACACTATTCATGTCCAACTCAAGTAGGCCTCCACTCATTCGACATAAATGATCTACGTTTGTGCTGACGAGGTCGCTCAGGATGACGACGAAAACTCCACGACCAAACTATCCAGCTCATAGAACAAAGCTGCATCAACAACAACCAGTGATTACCAACCAATTTCACTCCACGGGCTGGACCCCGCTTATGTGGTCATAATTTGTTCCTTATACTTATCTTTATTAATGCCCTTTTGTAATAACGTTGCTTGTGTTTTACGATCATAAAAGTGACCACAGTACCTGGATAAAAGAACACAGTGATCCACATTACGTACGTATTAACCGCAGGCTGTGACTCTGATATAAGCTAAGAGATCACAATTCACGTCCAACATGAGTAAGCTGCCAATCATCGGTATAGACCACCTACGTTGGTAATCTACATCCACCGAGTCCGTATATGTCCAGAATTACTATCTTTTCTGAAGTTCAATATGGCTTTTTATCATGTAGAATATTAAATGCTGACCTGAAAAAGTTAAGCTCTAACACTCAAAACAGAAAGCCTGTTCTTAAATTCCTGATAAACTTTCCCAGACATCCTATAAGATGGATCGTAAGCTACCATAATTAAAACTGAAGTACAGGGGTGTTGGCGAGTGTTTGTTTAATTGGTCACATGGTTATCGATTTAATCGGGAGGTTGCGATTGAGCGGAGTTGTTTCCTTTTTGCAAAGTATCTGCCATTAAAGTGAGGGTCCAGCGAAATCCTATACACAGTCACGATTTATTTGACCACTTTTTTTAACGACTTTTTGAAGTACTTGAACTTCTGGATAGTTGTTGTGCGTTAATTATTTTAATATTTTCGAGGTGGTACGAGGTCCAGTTCCATGCATCCAAACCTAAACATGAAGGGGAAACTAAAATCGTATTTGTGCGATACATTGGTAAATGCTTAATCTTATGGCACACCAAGCTCATATTTTGGGTGTGGTTCTGAAGATTAGGGTCCGTACCTAATATCTAACTCTAGCTTATACTACTGGATTGAAAGTTTCAGCTTGCCTAATCTTACCTTCAAAGTACATTCTCAAAATACACTTTGATCGTGATGATCAGCGTAGAATCAATTTTGAATGATTATAACACATACCGAGCTGTTAATATTACCGTCTACAGTTAGATATATAATCCACAAAATCATTATATTACAGGATATAAATCAGACTTTTGTGTGGAAGGTACATTTATGTGAAGTTTTTGCCAGAGACTAAACAAACATAGAGTTACCACATCCTGTGCGGAGTTTTAGTTTTTAGGTCACTGACATTCTTACAAAGATAGCCAAAAGGAGAGATAAAAACAATCAAAAAGCGACTCAGTGAAATCATTGAAATGTATGATTTCTTAATTAGAATAACCAAGTTCACTGACATTGGAAAAAAATGGAATAAGACTGATCATCAAAGACAGGTCCAAGTTGTTTGAGATAATTTAAATTCAATCATTGGAATTTGCGAGATTCTGCAATCAAATATCAGTTTTATGAACACCGGCTTCTCTATAATGCAAGGAGTCACAAAGTACAGAACAGCCACGAAAACAAGAATTGTGTGCATGAAAATACTATAGTGTCGGTTGACATGTTAAGCCCATGTATCTTATTCTGACTTTCGGACAGGTCAATCTATTCATTCTAGTTAAGTCATATTATGACCGTGTTAACTATTCGTTTATCAACTTTGACTGTTTTTATATGAGCGTATGCGTATGTACACTTTTTATCCTATTCATCATACGTTTGTAGCCTATTTTTGTGTGGCTATAAATATTGACTAACGTTTGACTAAATGAAGTTGGCCTACCTGCCACCTCCACAGCGCGTCGTTTCTCTTCTCTTCTCCGATATTTCGTCTGGACCAAAGATTGTATGAAATATACGCATTCGGAATTCATTTTCGTATTTGACTTATGTGATTCCGTTATTGACCAACGCGATTTAAGTCGATGATTATATACTAGGATAGGCGACGTATACATTTTGACAGCAATCATTCAATAGCAATCATTAATATGATCTACTCGGAGTCAGATCATGGGCCACGAAAATACATTTGTCCAGTTTAATGTAAATGTTCATTGTATTAATTTATTAAGCGTTTATTTATCTTCTCAGCACACTCTCGGGAATTTCGTGGAGTTGGTTCTTTTCATTAATCAACCAAAAACAAGTGTTATGTTTACAGAAAACGTGATTAGATATCCATAGTCAGCGCACTATACAGGATGTTTGTATTCGTCTTGTTGTAAATAATTATCAATACAATGTGATAAAATTTACATCTTTTCTAGTAGTTTTTTGCGTAACTAAGGGATGGGATGTTCAGCGGTGGGTCTACTTGCGAAAATTCACATACATACTGTAACACGAGTGTCTCATGATCACTATTGTTCAGTGAAGAAACAGATGGCATATATTTTTTATATGTTTTATTGATCATAGGCATAAAGAATAAATGTCTGAGTCCTACCAGTTTTTTAGTGAAAAACTATTTTAAACTGGTTACATCAAGAAAGAGCTGTTAGATTGAGAATAGCGAACTACTAAGGGCGTATAATAGATAGAGCCTCTGGTCTTTGACAAAAGATCAAAGTAAAACTTGTGAATCAGTGCCTTTTACAATAATAAAGAGTATTAATGTCAAACACCCAGGCTTACTCGCGTATCCCAAAACAAAAGCTTAACAAAGTCAGCCTTGTGACGATAAGAACTAACTGCTGTGTGATTTCTAAGCAGCACAATAGTACAGAATTTGACTTAGTAGTTTAATACACCAAGCGCGGTATGCAGTATTCGGTATGTGGTCCAGATGACTAATCGCGTGTGCGCCAACCTGGTCATCGTTACAAATCAGCGCAAACCAAGATCCCTATGTTTCACAACCACACAAGACTGCCAAGTGCACAACCTCTGCCGTAAGACTGTAAGAGCAATGGGTTCTGACAATGTGGCTTCCTCATTGCCACTGATTGAACTCATAACTTGCTTGCATATATCTACCGATGCTTCGAGGTATGAACGGATATATTTACTGGCCAGAGGTTCACTATGAACATGGATTGTGTGGTAGTTATAAGTGGACTTCTCAAGCAGATAATCACTCTCTGTGGGACTTGATATGTCGTCGAACACATAAAAAACCACGACCGTTATGTAGTTCTCTGTCTGCCGGCTGATATGTCAAAATAAATCTATGATGATTATAGAAATAGAAAAAAGAGCAATTGGATTTTTAGAAATAGTGACCTTGGAACCTGAAAATAAAGGTACATTTAACTGCATTCCTTACTTCAAGCCTTGGAAAACGTTAAAGATCCTTTATATGGACGTAAACGTACGTTAATGTATGTCTCACTTCAGATTTTGCAGAACATCAACAGAAGAGAATTACCTTTTCTGGGTTATTCTTTTAAGTGTTTGTGAGCACTTTACACAGGATTGTGTTGTTGGTCAGGCTAATTTACTGAGCCTACCTCGCGGACGAACAAACGTGACTAAATCTTCAAGGTCCTAAATGGTATCAATGGGAAGCAGATCTTGACAACTACTTGACTGCAAAAACCAGAGTAAGAGAAACAAGTTCCAATCCTGAGACCCACCAAATGAAACTCGGATATTTTTTTACCACTAACCAATGATTCCTACAAGTCTGTTTAATATAAACTGATTGCAACAGTTTTCGGGAAACCACACCATTGGGGTAAAATAGGAACGACCTAGAGATTAAAAATGATAGCACAATCTATCCAATGATTGATAACTTTCGTCACTAATCTTGTTTATGATCGGTAAATTAATTGTATAGAATAAGATTATCTTAAAAATAGATCAATAAATCTGATCAAATCCGTTTAAATTTTAATATAGATAATTTACTACGACTCTTGTTATTGCGTTCTATTCATGACACAGAAAAAGTCAAGCGTATGTTGTATTGTATCGACAATAGCTATGACGTTCCGACCTTTTCCACTTCTTATTTATTTATTATTTTAAACGCATGAATATAGGTACAAAAAGGCACCAAATAGATCTGCGCCACATAAATCATTCGATTTATGTGAGGGTTGGGATGACCAAACTGAAGCAGGGGCCAAACTCCGAGCCTTTGAGCTAAAACTCTAACCCACAAGGCAGTGGGGGCAACTTTAGGAGATGCAGTCCCATGGTGACCGAGAACCAACAATTGGTTCATACGCCATTTGTTCCTTCAGGACACTGGAGTTCGGGTGCACGATCGGTTTGAAATCAGGGTTATCCAACTCCCCTAAGTGGATCCTCCATATCCACCATCCCGGTTAAAGCGCCGGACATTCACTTCTCGTCCTCTCGATTTCGTAAACAACACCCATGATGCGAGAAAGCAGTGAGTAGGACTTCTCTGTCAGTAGTTGTGTACACGTCGTCATGTGAGAGTATTTGGAGAGGGAGAGCTAACTCTCCCAACTCTCGGCCGTACCAGGGCATTTAGGGGGTCTCCACCTGGTAAGTAGGCTATTCCTAATGTAGAAATATGTTGCGGATATTGTATCGTAGAAAACACTTTATCACAAACAGTCATCATAAAGTAATGGTACCAACCAATGAGAGATAAAGGTTATCCCATGTTTATCAACAAATAATATGTCCATATCTATTGTTAGTTATATGAAATAAGAAAAGAAATTGTACAAAGTATATAATTATAGTTACCCGAATAATAAGATAATTGAACAATGAATTATATTACATTACATTTGATTTACCCTTTACATTTCCCAAATGTTCTTATATATCCATATAAGAACTAATATTACAAACACAAGGATACTGTTAATAATAATGACACGAAGTTTCTCAAAAATTAAAGGCAGGAAATGACTCTTTAGAAAAGCAACATTTAGAAATATCACAGTTCTTTTGGATTAATTAAATTTTGTAATACAAATACACATGATTAGAAAAGAAAGAAGAAGATATATATATATATATATATATATATATATATATATATATATATATATATATATATATATATATATATATATATATATATATATATATATATAGTTCTCTGTTTGTTTTGACTCCAGTAGGAGAGAACAAAACTAGCTTTCAGTTGAAGAAGAAATTCAGAAAGGAGCATTGGAAATCATCAAACTATATTACGAGGTAAATACTCACTTGGAATCTTGAAGAGAAATGGAAAAAAACAAAGGTCGAAGAATCCATAACGTTGGGAATTAGAAGCGGACGTCGTAATGATGAATAACAACTGGAAAGAACCGGAAAAGATTTTCCAGGACAAATTTAGATGGGGAATGTTATTGGGAGGCCCGTGTTCCTCCACAATGGGTAACAGGCATAAGCAAGTAAGTTTTATTATTGTATAGATTTTTACAAAATGTATTTAGTTATACAATGAAATGACAATCATCTTTGAAATAAAATCAAAAAACAAAAACAACCTCTGGACAAATAAATCAATAAAATAAAGATCATAAAATCAATGATTTGAGCAGATCTTTCTTTATCAAACCAAAGTTCACTTGTCTACCATTAAATGTTGTAGTTGAAAGACAAAACTACGTGCCAATTCTAATAGTGTTACACAGTCATGTTGTTCGGTTAATTCTGAAATGAATGATGGGAAAAAAATAAAGTAATTGTTGGTAGTCTGTCGGTCATCATCGAAACAGTCTGGTATAAATCGTCATTAGTACCAGGAGTTCTGTGAATATTATAGTAATTCTAATAGTTTTTATCATGAGTCAATTGAAGCTAGATCACTATGGAAAACCTGGAAGCACTGGATGGCCTTTTTGTCTTATTGTGGGACTCCTCAGCAGTGCGCATCCACGATCTCTCTTTGGGAGATTCCAACCCTAGATCTATCAGTCTCGCACACGAGCGCTTAACCTCTAGACCACTAAGCCAACATCCAATGATGTTAATTTCTAACTTGAACTAATCCACGAAATTGAGCGACATATCCACCATTGTCTTCAGTGAGTTACTATCTCACAACACACAAGGTTGAACTCCACTGGTCACTGCTTCTTACTAGAACTCCAGAAATGCCTCTTGAAGCCAGTCACTTTTGAGCATATGCTGATTATAATCAGAGAAGCGGTTTTGTGGATATTATAGTAATTTTAATAGATGAGATCATGAATGTACGTACATTAACCAAAGTTGCCATATCATATCAGAAGGATGAAATACATCTAGCAAGATAAATATCAAATGAATGTAGTAGCAATGGTAATGAGAATGATTGAAAATTGAAAACTCGGTTGGAGTAGGAGAAATGAAAAGATCTGCAATACTGTGACATATTCTTAACCATTTTACCCATGAATCCCAACCATGTAGTTTGGGTCCTCCAACTTGGTTCAGAACAGTGATAATCGAATTAACGGAGTGATGTTATATTTTGGTTTGGCTGACTCACCATACTAGCTCACATCGTCTGTCAAGGTAGTCAGTCGTTTATCATAGGTAATACAAATTCCAATCATATCAGTCGATGAGGATTTACAACCATATCAACTAACGGCAATACTACACTTTATGGAAGAACCAATCAGGCTCAGGATGACAGGTCTTGGATTTTGACGCGAAATTCATTCATTCAATTGTCTAAATACCATCCTGGCTTTTTAGCTGGGGTCAGTTCGTGATGGAAACCATAAATCTAATTCCTAACCTTAACCATCAACTGTAAATCATAATCCTTACTCTTCATACTGCTTCATAATCATTATTTAGTAAGTAGCTGGATATTCCCAGGGTCACCTCAGCGTCGCTCGAAGGTCATCCATAAATTATAGTCTCACCCAACTAACTTGTCATCTTTGCCTCTCGCCCTATGCTTAATCTTAGTTTATTCCCCTGGCTACGTTTTGTATATCACATTGCACTACTTGATAATAGTCAGTAGTTTGAGTATGTTCAACCATTTAAACAGTATCAACTTGTCTATTTCCGGTATTCGTTGATATTTTTCGACGAAATGATCACGTCGTTTTCTGACTTATAGGACCTCTATCTATTTGACCGTATTTTGACAATATAGTTGTAGTTTAGAAGCCTTACTTTTCAAGGTTTCGAAAGTATAAGTCTTGATTTTTGTTCCATCTTATAGTTCCATACGTATAGGGAGATCGGAATTTTCAAAAATCTTGTCTCTGCATCAGTAATACATGTGTTTGACGGCGGATAATCTAAAGCCTTCTCCATAATAAGTTATAGTTATATGATATACCCTTGTGGGTCAGAGTAATTCTACATTGGTTTTCAGGAGAACCAGACACCATTTAGACTTGCACATGACAACCCAAACAGTACAGCTCAATCCCGCTTCACAGGAGAACCAGACACCGTATAGGCTTTGACACTACAATCTGAATAGTACAACTCAATCCTGTGGCGCAGCCTCACAGGCACCAAGCACCCTGGTGGACCATTCGCATCATTCATATACACATTCACGTCACATGTATAGTTATTCCGATCAATGATCGATCATTGATCACCACCCAGTGATCAATCAATTGTAATTACATCTCAGTCCTACAGGAGGTTAGTCACGGCTCGGATAGCTCAGTGGTAACGTCTCTGACTGTGAAGCTGGGTGACACGAGATGGAATCCGCCAGGGAGCACCAGTTCCCTCAAGATTACAGGTACACCTTGCTGACGAGTGCCAAGTAGCACGAAACCCGGGTCCAGGGTTTCCTGTTGACTACCTCCAACCACCATCTAAATCGCCTGAATCCATTATGCACAGAGTGAACAGGCCAAAGTTGACCTATTCCGCTTACACGACAGTCAAACTCATGATTGTTAGCAATGGCGACATGCCTTACAATGTCCCAATGACAATGGCCCTTGAAAACACTGAAAAGCAACCACCAGTATGAATGAAATCGGTTAACCAGTAAAACAATTTTTGCATGAACAGTCAGCAAAACTTGCCAAAATAATGCCAAACCATTCACAAAATCAATGGTGAACGTTAAGTCTCATATGAGACCTTGAGCTCTACATAGCAATATAGCTTTTAATTCATAGAATACATGTGTAGGGTAGTAAACGAAATAACCAAGCCTGAAGCGCCAGGGCTTAAAACAACGCTTAAAACCCATTGTCTGGTATCGGAATACTACTACTAGACCACCGAGATTATTTTTATCACATTTGCGAAATTTTCATTCTTCCAACTTTTCAGACCTTGAGCTAGAGGTAGTATCCTTCCCATTACAAGTAAATCGATTTTATTAAAGTATCATTTTCAAAAGTAATCAGTGCTATACTACGTTAGTAATAACGAATTCTCTATACTGAATGTATGAGACAGTGACTTTCTGAACGATTTCTAAACTTCTACAATCTTTGACATTTAGAGTGACAAAGCAGAAACTGTAATCTCAAAGGTAGTATTCACAGAAATACAAGTGGCTTTCAGACTAGAGAAAAAACAAGTTCAAGAATATCGTAATTTGTTGGTCATTGCATTTTTCCAAAATGCTACCAAATATAACTTCTTTGAAAAAAGTAACATTTAACCTTTCCATTGGATTACAGTAAATTTGTTAGATGTTTTCTAAAACTCTGGTGAGAACATCGAACAATTTAAGGAACATAATGTAATGAACGAGAACATCAATGGAGACAACCAACTGTACTTCAATACAACAATACAGAATATCTTGGTAAAATCTGAGAACCATACAATAGATACTTCATTTAAAATATATCAACCAGTTGTCTCAGATTTCATTGTTCCTTCATTTTCATAACCATCACTCTCTTTTCTCATTCTCTTCTCGATTTATCTCAATATTCTGCCTCCAGGCATTTCATTTCCGGTTATTGATACACATAACTCTGCCTGAAGCCCCTCTGAGGCTACTACCAGTCCCAAGCCCGGATAAAAGAGGAGGGTTGGGTATGGAGTTAGAGACTTCACTCCGTAGAAAACTAACTCACTCAAAAAATGCTAACCAGAAAAAAAATATTCAAACCATTCAAACTCTGCCCTGGCAGTTAGAAGGTCTTCATTTAGATGAGCTATGATGCCTCGTGGTGAAAGTCGAGTTCCTTCGAAAGTCACAAGGCTGATGCCCCTTCTAACAACCAAAGCAACTATTAATTTGGATACATAGAATGCCTGTACAATATGGAAAACCCGGAGAGTCTTCCAAATTGCTTCAGAAATGAGGAGATACAACCTGGGGATGCTTGGAATCATTTAAACACATTGAACGTAGGCGTAAATAAGTAATCGTTGATACACGTACTACTTATATATCTGTCAATATCAGTAGCATACACTATTATAATATCATTAAAATGAATGAATTCATTCAAATTATGAACTTACCATTATAAAATCGAATAATTTCTGTTATATCCATATTATAATAAATTAAAATATCACGATAATATTCAAGTAATGCTAATGCAAAAAATATACCAAAATCATATGTTACAATACGACGTGATGCCCATATTGTTTCCCATACAGGAAAGATATCATCATATTGTAATTCTAATAATAATAATAATACAAAAAGACAATAAGCAAATAAAGATTATCAGAAGGAGTTTTGCGGAGATTTTAATAATTTCAACAGTTGAAATCATGAATCAATTGATGTTAGACCATTATGAAAAACCTGGAAGCACTGGATAGCTGTTTCATCCTAGTCTGGGACTCGTCAGAAGTGCGCATCAATTATCCCCCCCGGAAGTTTTGAACCCAGGACCTATCAGTCCCGCGCGTGAGCGCCTAACCATTAAACCACTGAGCCGGCATCCGACGGTGTTTGTCTAATTTTAGCTCTGTGAATGTACACTAATAGACAAAAGTGACTGTGATTTAAGAAACAGAAAGCATATAGATATATACGTAAATACAGACAAATATCAAGTATTCATTATCTTCAGTACGTACTGTTATAGATTGTGCTCTTAGTGTCCTGTTAATGTATAACATAATGATATCGCCAATTAGAGAGCAGTGAATTATCGACCAGACCAATGACGCATAAAACAAGTACGAGCAGTCTAGAGTTTTTATTGGTCCCACTTTCCGCCTAGCCCAGTCACTTAAGTCCAGAACACCAATACTGGGTTCATATACTAATCAAACAGACCACACTGTACCAATAAAATAGGAAACAACATTTAGTCAAATGTGGCTTTGAATGTGAGAGATAGTAACTGATAGACTGAGCATAATTCAAGAAGAGTAAATCGTATAATAGTAGTTCATAGGTCAAAATAAAGCTCATGATAAGAGAAACATGAATATCAATAGTTTAGTTATTTAACAATAATACGATAAAAATATACGCATAGTATTGATCCATAAATGGATCCTAAAAGTTACCATTCATTATGTTTATTGGGACATAACACCTACCTCGTTTAAAGTCTAATAATAACCAACGATATGAAAACAATAATTGTCCTTCTGGTACTTTTTTAGTTAAATGATTATTCATTTCTGGATCAAAGATCTATAAATAAAGTGAATAGTACAATAAATTAGACGAAAGATAATATAGCTAATGTATAATTAATGAAAGTAAATATAACTCACTGGAATAGTCAATCAATTGTATCTATCAATTCCCATTTTATAGCCAATTACATTTACATTTCACTGTTAACTAGTAGATTCAAATATATCAAGATATAGAATATTCAGAGATGAGAGATTGTTGTCTTTAACTAGTAGTAGAGAGATTAGTCAGTCAATCAGTAAGTCAGTAACTACGTAGAACTTCGTACGTACGTACATTAGTTTGAATTGCCATACCACATTAGCACACAGATACGATTGCCGATTCAAATCCCATAGTGGTAGAGGTAGTAAATGTATAAGCAGTAATCGGAAAGATTAGAGTTTGAAGATGTTATTCCTGAAGCATAATCCAGTGGAATAAATTTTAAAAGAGAAAAGAAGGAACATGAAGAATACAGAAGATTAGAATTCGGGAGAACACAAAGAGTGGATACACCTGCGCCATTGCAATCAATTTTGAACCATGTCATTCAAGTTCTCTAATCGTCGGTTTCTATCGTCTCGCGGATCCCAACCAGGTAGTTTACACCTAGCAACATGATTAGTTCATTTGTCAGTGACTTCATGGATTTGTACCATGTTTTGGTCTGACCGCCTCTAGTTTTATTCCAACCTACTCCTACAACATAAGACATCGCACGTCGGTGCAGTCGGTGGTTGGGCATACGTAACACGTGTCCCAGCCATCTCAACTGATGAAGTTTCACTACATCATCAATGGATTTGCCATCCTTACCTAGTACCCATTTTACTAACAACTGCATTACTTATCCGGTGTTCCCAGGATATACGAACAATGTTTCGAAGACACCTATGATTGAATACTAGTACTCTACGAATATCCTTTACTCTCACCGACCATGATTCACTGCCATAATGTAAAACAGAATGAACTGCTGAGAAATAAGCCCGTCCTTTGATTGATAGACGGATATCTCGCCTACGCCATAAATGACGCAAGTTGGCAAAAGCTAATCGAGCCTTCAGTATCCGCGTTGAGATTAGAGTAATTAATAGAGCATATTATGATCACTTTATAAGTTATTGTATATAACTGTATTTTACTGAAGGTCTGAGTGAAATAGTCTTATAAAATTATTACACTTATTTCCTACTTTGACAACGATTGAGATCATTTCTAATAGCTTTCTAACTACTTTTACAGTATACAACCTAAAAATACATTAAAAAAACTTTAATAGAACTGATAATCATGAAGGACAAAACGGTACCCGGTCGAATCCTCTTAATGCGTTCTTCAACAATTCCAGCTATGAACTCCACCTGGAGTCCCTCCGGGGTCTACTGTCGGTCCCAAGATTTGATAAAGGAAGAGGGTTGGTTATGGAGTTAGCGACCCCATCCCGTAGAAAACTAACTCGCTAAAAAAACGCTAACCAGAAAATTATGAAAAATCTACTAGAAACAAAATATTCAGAAATAAATCCTCTGTGAGAGTAATAACGTTCGAATTTCAATGCATAATTGTATTCACATAATTACTAGAGTTCATTATTATCATTATGTTTATAATCGCACAAATTATTGATTTTTGTGTTAATATTAAATCAATAATAACCAGTAAGATCTTTGTTTAGAACTATTGATACCAGGTTTGAGCAATAGAAGGGGAAAGGTGTGGAAAATACTTATCAATGAGGGAATGAGTGAGTATACTTAATTTAAATTACAGTTACTTTAATATTCAATCAGTCAGTCAGTCAGCTACAACGTAGGACCAGGCACATATATGCATCGGTCCAAGTTGCCATACCTCATTAACACAACAAGATGAACATCAAATTCATAGAATTAGTTACTTCAATGGTAGTAATGTATTATTGGACATAATACAGGAAGAAAGAACTAGTTAGTAGAAGGGAAGATATAAAACAATTTTAATATCATAGTTTAAAAGAAGACAAACAGTCTATACACCAACACCATTGTTAAACACATTTGGGCCAAATTCTAAGCTGTAGAGAGACTATAACTTGTGGACGAACTAATCAAAAGAGTTTGAAGGGGTTCAAGGTCACGGTGCCAATTTCGGTACCTGATGTTAACGTACGAACGGTTCAGAGCGGATTTTATACAAAACGTGATTATTGACCGGATATAACAAACAAAATGACGAGACTATAATTCATGGACGAACCAATCAAGTATAAGATAGCAGGCCTCCAATTTTGGCGCGAAAGTCACCCGTCGATTTGGATAAATTGAGTTTTGACATTAAAGCTGATGTTAGTTTGTGATGAAAACTCTATATATAATTCCTAACTAAGGCGAACTATGACAATTATTGCGAACTGCATAATAAAAGCACCAGTAACACTGACTGCAACCAGTTACTACAATATATACGGATGACTGGAGAGCATACAGACCCCTTCATAGGATTGGTTATGTGTATCGTGTCGTTATCCACAAGTAGGATTTTGTTCACTCAACAACCGGAGTGCAAACAAACAATATTGAAGCTATGTGTTCGAAGCTGAAAGAGGTTTTGAGACTTTATCATGGCTCCAGAGGCCGACTATCCTTTAGTCGTATGGATGATTTCCTCTACTGCATGCATTACGATTTTAGAACATCTGAACCTCTCTCCAACCCTGACAAGTTTTTGAACTACGTATAAGAAGTGTATTCACTTTGTTTCCTCGGTGTTGTATAATATAATTGTACTCTATACTGACTGCTTTCTGATTGGCTAATATTTTTCAAGGTCACTTGGGACTCATTCAAAAATCAGCCATAAATGATAGTCTCTCAGATTTACAATTTTTATCATGAACTGACATCCGTTATAATATCAGAGTGCTATTTAGTCAAATGGACGGATGAATTTCGCGCTGAAATCCAAGATCTGTCATCTTAAGTCTGATTGATTTGTCCATAAATTATGGTCTAGTCATTTTATTGAGTCATTGAGAATTTTTTCTAAATTTGATGATAATAATACTTAGTTCATTCAATTCAATAGGTTCAATTACAGTAAACATTGCTCAGAGTAAAATATCCCAATAATCCCATCTACTAATTTATAACACGTGAATGAGAACCCATTCATATTTATCCGTAAATGCGTTACGATCAGGCCTCCAATGCCCTGGTACGGCCGAGAGTAGAGAGAGTCAGCTCTCCCTCTCGAAATACTCTCACATGGCCACGCGTATATAGCCTCTGCCATGGAAGTCCTACTCACTGCCTTCTCGTGGCAGAGGTGTTGTTTACGAAATTGAGAGGAGGAAAAGCGAACGTCCAGCTCTTTAAATGGGTTGGTGGACATGGAGAGTCTACCTAAGGGAGTTGGAAAACCGTGATTCCAAACCAATGGTGCACATGGGCTCCAGGATCCTGAGGGAACAAATGGCGTATGAACCGATCGTTGGTCACCGGCTACCATGAGGCTGCATCTCCTTACGATGCTCCACTACTTTATGGATCAAACGCTAAGGTCGAAGGCTCCGGGTGTCGCCCCCTAATGAAACCGCCTGTCTCTGTTTTGGCAATAGTATCACAGTTCTCACACATATCAAGTGAGATTTGTGTGGTGCTTATGTATTTTGTGCCTCCTAGTACCAATATCTATGTGTTAAAATAAATAAATACGATCAGTCTTGTATGAATGGCATATCCTTCCAATGCTAAATATATTTGGATGCTTGTATTGCTCCCATGGTACTCGCTAGTCGTTTCTTCAAAGAAAAGGCGAGAAGAGGAATATATGCGAAATACCGTGATGATATGTTTTAAAAGTATCTCAGTAATTAGATTCGCAATAAGTTGTAAACATTTTATAAACGCGCTTAACTGCACGCAGCTAGCAGATAGAATTAGTCGATTAAAACCAACTCAAAATTCATGTTAATAGATTGATATTTGAAACATCGGCGGCAAAGATGTTCCAGCAGGATACTAATCAATTATACATATGTCGGTATAGGTTTACGTAGATTGTTGAACTTTGTTCAAATCATGAACCGATCAAAACTAGACAAATATCGAAAAAACTTGAAGCATTGAACTACCTTTTTATTCTAATATAGGATTCCATAGAGGTCTATATCAATGATCCCACCACAAATGGAAACGGAACCCAGGACTTTCAGTCTCCATCCACCGACGCTGAACTATTAACTTATTAAGAGATTATCGTATGGTATATAAGTTTTCAATATTGCATAACCATCTGTTAAGTCTATTAAAGCGTCCAAATCACCCGATTGAGATACGCGCAAAACCGAAGTTTCCAAAACAATAGCGGTTCTTTATTGAATAATACACAAAATTTAGTTACTAACTTCAACTTTTGAGGTGTCTGGGGCGTTTAAACCCGTCCTTCAAGTATGAAATAAAAAGGTTTTCTGTAACAGTTAAACAAAGAATAATTATAACATGCGATAGTGCAAAAGACAGCTGATAACTGTGTCTAAACCTGGTAACAGTATATTATCAACAAGCAAAACCCGAACCAAGAGTAAAACAATATGGAAACTGTTGTGTTTAAACAAATGCACAAAACTGTGGAAAACGGATCCAGCGATTAAAATACAGTAGTTATAATGATAAATACGATGATAAGTACAATAAACGTTATAAGTATGTGTGAACATTTCAGAATATTACACTACAACTTGCGTTACAACATAAGTGTAAAACTTGTTGGGAATACAACTGCTTACTGAATGTACAAAAGTAGTATAAAACAATATACAAAAGGAGTGGAAAGGGAGCGAGTAGGAACAATGTAAGACAAACTTAACACCATCTTTGATTATCTTCGATGGGTGTCCTTCAGGAGATTATTCCTGAAGCTAATCATTAGCAAGGTCTAAACATTTAATTATTATTACCGCTTAAAAAGTTGAACATATACACTAGGATGTAAAATGGTTACCCAGTATGAAAATACTATACATTTATAAAATAATAAAAACAAACGTTTTTTATAATTTATTATACTCACTTCTATTAATGATTGAAGAAAAGAAAATCTTATATCCATACATGGTATTGATAATTCAGAAGATTTCAATAATAGTTTATCATATGGTGAAATGATTACATTTGTATTAGGATTATGATATGATTGTTCAATTGTTTTATCAGTGATTCTCTGTAACGATGTCGATGATGATTCCGACGATGATAATGAGGATGAGGATGTTGCGGATGATAATGATGGTGTTTCCTTGAGTTTATTTGTACAACGCAATGTACTATTATCATAATGAAGTTGTTTTGAGTGATTATTATTATGAGTGGTATTACTATCTACAGTATTATCTTTAGTATGCATTGTTACAGTACGACGACGAGCTGCTTTTACAGCCATTTGTAATAAAGTTGTACGTGTAATTGTGCAATCATTATTATTATCGTCATTATTATTGATTGTTTTCTCTATATGATTAGTCAACATTGATGACGTCGACGTCGACGACGACGATGATGATGTTGATGATGATGATGATGATGATGGCGTTAGTAACAATTGAGTTTCAGATGGTGATAATTTAACTGAATTAGATGATTGAGATGAAGAATTTTTTACAAGTGGAAAATTTGGTAACATCCATTTCATTAAACAATTAAAACATGCAAATGTTTTAATTTCATCTTCAATAATAATTAAAATGGGTGCTAATAAATCACACATTCCTTGTATATAACCAATATCAAGATGTAACCAAACCCATGTTGATATAATATTACGTAATTTAATTAAATTAGAACTTAATTCAGTTATGTTAGGATGTGAAGATTTGAAACCTTTTTCTAAACAAAAAAAAACAAAAATAAGAAGAAAAGTTCCGTTGAAGAGATTCAGAAAACTACTCGACAAAAAAAGCCAAAAAGGGCTTTGAAAATATTGACAACCATCTTATCTAATCAGCATTCAATAGACGTTATGCTAGAAACATCTAGAAGGTGATAAGTCACATGTTGAGTTTCTGATTGGATGATTACTTATACTGCTATTATGTTTAATAGCATTCTAGAATGTTCCGGAAACTGGAGGACATCTAGAAAGTGAAATGTTACACGTCAAGTTTCTGATTGGATGATTATTTATAATGCTATCATGTTTAGTAGCATTCCAGAATAAATACCCTAGATCTTCTGTACTCAATGTTCACTAAACGGACATCATCAGCTACAGCCTATTGCTGGGAAGAACAAACGAGATTCTGGTTGAAAAGCGAATAAGAAAAACATGTTCTAAGTGGATAGGATATACATTACGGAAATGACTAAAGAACATAACAAGGCAACCTCTAACTTGGAATCCTTAAGGGAGACAGAAAAGAGAGAGACCAAAGAAAACACTGCGTCAAGAATTGGAAGCGGACATCGAAAGGATGAATAACAACTGGAAAGGATTGTTCAGCACAGAGTTTGATGAAAAATGCTGGTAGGCGGCTCATGCTCCTCCTCTGGGGGTAAAAGGCCTATGTAAGTAGGTAAGTTGGTGATGTAGTTTAAGAAAAAAATACAGATGTTTCATGCTTAAGCCAACGAGTTCCATCCAAACAATACAACAAAACCAAAAGTTTCCCACTTGAATTATCCATCTTCGCTGACAGTTCACATTATACTTGAATATGCGATAAAATATCAGGTATAAAGTTTGATTTATATGTGATTGATGGTAACAATTTTTTAAACCATGAACCAGAAACCGTCAAGTGCTGATATTGTCCTTGAATAAAGTGTCCAAATAAACCACTGATGTAAATAATCACCACTCAAGGATAGTTTCAGAGAGATCTTAGATCATTAGAGATCAAAATCAGTTATGTAACAACATGAAATATTCAACACAACGAACAATACGTTTCTTTTAAAAGAATTTTATCATAACGAATAGTATGATGCCAAAATAATCAAAGCCCCCAAATGCCCTGGTACAGCCTAGAGTGAGGAGAGTCAGCTCTCGCTCTCCATATGCTCTCACATGGCCACTAGTGTACAAACACTAACAGGGAAGTTCTACTCACTACCTTCTCGAGGTATTAATGTTGGTTACACAATCCAGAGGAAGAAAAGTGAATCTTCGAAGCTTTAACCTGGTTGGTGGATATGGAGTATCTACCTAGGAGAGTTGGAAAACCCTGATTTTAAACCGATGGTACACATCGGCTCCAGTTTCCTGAGAGGACAAATTGAGTATGAACCAATCGTTGGCCACCAGCTACCATTGAACTGCATCTCCTGACGTTGATCTACTGCATTGTGGATCAGACTTATAGATCATTGGCTCCGGGTGTGGTCCCCTGATAAAACCACCTGTTTTGGTTTGGCTACCCGGGCATTATCACAGCCCACACACAAACCAAGTGACTTGTATGGCTCATATGTATTCGGGGCCTCTTTGTAGATTCATTTCTTTTGAATTATGAAAACTAAAACACCCATCGAGTTAACATGAATACTTTATAGATGTTGTTTAAGTTTTGTTCTGCATATCATGAATCAACTTTAAATTAAACATTTATCCAAAATCCCGACCCATTCCACAGGTACTTAATCTTACTTCGGGACTGTTTAGAAATGTGCGCTAAAATCCCTGTTAGAAATCGAACTCACGACCTTAAAGTATCGAGGTGAATGTTTTACTTTCAGACAGATGAGTTAGCAGCAAACAGTTTACTTTTATAACTTAAGACAATTTGTATATTAGTAGCAAACAACTACTTTTGAACAAGATGAACCTGGTAAAGTTCTACGAACGGAAGAAAACTAGAAATTAAAATCAATAGTCGACAAAGATGGTTTATTTTTAGCCAATTCTGTTTTGTAATAAATTTCGTGAAAACATAGAAAGAGTCTAATATAAAGAAATTTTACTAGTACCGAATAATTCAGATCGTTAGCCGACAACATAGATATTTTTTTCTGATTCAAATTTTGATTCATGCTGCTATGTCAATCAACCAATTATAAGCCATTTCAGACCTGTCATATATGTGCATATATGTGTTGACTACCTCCAACCACCATCTAAATTTCAATACATAGTGCCCGCAGTGTCGAGTCACCTAGACTGGTGGCCACATTGCAACATGATCGATAGCATTCGATCTTCACTAATAAGGGCTAGACAAGCAAGACATTGATCACCACCCAGTGATCAATCAATTGTAATATATGTGCATTAGTTCAAGTTATGAGAACACCTCAACACAGAGAGATAACAGAGTAGTAAAAGTAGTGATTGTATTCATGGTAGTATAAAAGACTAAAGACTGCGGAAGAAAACGTTGGTCAAAATAGCTTTTTTGAACAATCTATTCTACCAGTAAACTAATTGGTAAGAATCATTAAGTCCTTTTTTGATAGTAAAAAATTTGATCGAATTGATAGCGTAATTTTGTAAGATGGTGGTTGAATGTTGTCAATAGGAAACTCCATACCGAGGTTTCGTGCTATTTTACACTCGTCAGCAAGATGTACCTGTTTTCTTGAGGGAATTCGATGGCGAGACTCTAATTTATAGACGACCTTTGAACGAATTTTAAATGACCTTGAGAATATGAGCCAATCAGAAAGCGGTCAGTATAGAGTAAAATTATATTATACAACACCGAGGAAATAAAGTGAATACACTTCTTATACGTGGTTCAAAAAACTTGTCAAGGTTAGAAAGAGGTTTAAAGGTTCTAAAGTCGTAATGCATGCAGTAGAGGAAATCATCCATACGACTAAAGAATTGTCGGCCTCTGGAGCCATGATAAAGTCTCAAAACCTCTTTTAACCTCGACCACATAGCTTCAATATTGTTTATGTGCACTCCAGTTGTTGAGTGCACAAAGTGACACTTGTGAATAACAACACGATACACATAACCATTCTTTTGAAGGGGTCTGTATGCTCTTCAATCATCCGTATATATTGTAGTAACTGGTTGCAGTCAGTGTTACTGGTGCTTTTATTATCCAGTTCGCAATAATTGTCATAGTTCGCCTTAGTTAGGAATTATATATAGGGTTTTCATCACAAACTAACATCAGCTTTAATGTCAAAACTCAATTCAGCCAAATTGATGAAAGACGTTCGCGCCAAAATCCGATGCCTGCTATCTTATACTTGATTGGTTCGTCCATGAATTATAGTCTCGTCATTTTGTTTGTTATATCCGTTCAATAACCACTTTTTGTATAAAATCCGCTGTGAACCGTTCGTACGTTAACATCAGGTACCGAAATTGGCACCGTGACCTTGAACCCCTTCAAACGCTTCTGGTTGGCTCGTCGATAAATTGGAGTCTCACTGATTCGATCGTGTATCACCCGGCTTTACATTCAGAGATATTACCACTGAGTGCATCAGTTCCCTTAAGATTACAGGTACAAATTGCTGATGAGTGTCAAATAGCACGAAACCTGGGTTCAGGGTTTTATGTCGACTAACTCAAACCACCATCTTATCACAATGTTGAGTTACCTAGATAACTGGTCATATTTCAACCTGGTCGATAGGATTCAATCTGCACTAAGAAGAACCTGACACACATGACATTGATCACCACACAATGATCAATCAATTGAGAGCGTAACTGTGTATTTATCATCCTGGTTTCAATGACCTGTTAGTAGGAACATTACAGGTAAATCCTCAAACAAGGAAAAACTACTATCCAGTGCTCCCTCATTTTAAAATATTCTCTGACATCAGTCAATGATGAACTATAGGATAATAATTGGGAAATGTAGAACTTTTACGACTATTCTACAAGTAATTAATACATATCTTTCTTATTGTGTATACAGTAAATATTAGTTTTATGGTATTTTCATATTGTTCTGATCACAAGCATCCATTTTAGCTTGGTAACTGTCAATATAGGTTTAACCTTTCTGAAATTGTTATTCATTAATGCTCTATTTTGTAGCATAAATAGCTTAGATATGTACCAATTATGACAAATTATTTATAGTACGTTTTTGGTTATGTAATCATTGTATGTAAGTATTATAATTTCTCTTATTATGTATGACCCAGCTCTTCCCATTGCTTAGTATTGTTGAACATTATTTCACTAGATAAGTACCTAAATCAGAACACGGTTGAATAGGAACGAAATTATATTCCAAGGGTAGATGGAAGCAAGAAACACAATCGAAAAAACGTTAGTGTATTTATAGTTTTTACATGAGAAGATTCTAGAGTACTCTTCAAGTATCGGCTAGTGCTGATTGGATAAGAAATAGCCAATCAGCGTGCAGCAACACAATCGTGTAAAGAACTTGTTTTAATCCAATGTATATCCCGATAACAGTAAGTTTATAAATTTTTAAATCTTAGTGATAAACAGTTTATCAGATTGCTATCCTCTACTGATTAGGTATTCAGGATAGAATGAAGTGTATTGTATCAAATAAGAAACTGGATTTCTAGTCACTATGGGAGTTCATTTGTGTTACTAGTTACGAAGATGGCACTTTGGTTTGAATAGTATCAATAACCTCATAGTTAATGAATTCTATAAATAAGCAACATAAATGATTGAAAAAAAAACATATAAAATGCTAAACATAATTTATCAGAAGAGGTTTTGTGGAGATTTTTGAAATTTCACTTATTGAAATCATGATTCAATTGAAGTTAGTCTACCATGGAAAACCTGGAAGCATTTGACGGCCGTCCCTTATGATAATAATCATCTGCTCACTAGTGACTGACTTCAAGAGATACTCCTGGAGTTCTAGTGAGAAGTTGTTACCAGTGGAGTTCAACCGGGTCTGTTGTGAGATAGTAACTCACTGAAAACAATGGTGTACGGTGGCGCAACTTCGTGGATTGGTTGAAGTTAGACATTGACACTTTTGGATATCGGCCAGCTCAATGGTCTAATGGTTAAGCGCCTGGCGCTAGACTGATAGGTCCTGTGTTTGAATCTTGAGGGGAGCGAGATCATGGATGCGCACTGTTGAGTAGTCCCATACTAGAACGAAACGGCCATCCAGTGCTTCCAGGTTTTCGATGATGGTCTGGCTTCAATTGACTCATGATTTCAATCACTGGAACATAATTTACACAAAACTACCTGTTTTAGATTACAGATTGACAAAACAAAAACAATATTAAAGATAGATGTAGATAAATCTTACTTGGTGTCATAAAGAATGTATGATTTCGATCACATCTTGTAACATCTTTATCAATTCTATATAAATTATCAGCAAATATTTCTAATGTATTTGGCTAAAATAGTATAAAGAAGATAATATTTAGGTGAAGACGGGGAGGCTTTAAAGGCAACAAAGTATTCATAAATATAGCATTATTACTAAATAAGATCATCTAGTTATATGACGACGGACCACAGGTGAACTAAAGGAAGCTGTAAGAGGCTCAGAAGGAGCCGAAGATGTTCCATCCAATCACCTTTCGGAAGAATATTCTAGATTTCCTACGTGTAGCTTCCCGATTGGACAATGCTAATAACCCCGTGTATGCGGATTGGAGAACTGTAATGATGATTTTGTTCTTACGAAAAACTAAATAATTGACACTGTCTGGGAATAATATTCCTTTCATTAGTCTCCTGTCTTCTTATTGCGACTTGAGAGGGTTTTGGTGTTCTAGTGCTCTGTTATACGCGGTGTATCAAGAAATCAACAAGTTACAATAGAATAGGAACTCAACTCAACGACTGAATCACACTTGTAAACATACATTAGATATAAGTATTATTATTAAATGAGTACTTACAAAATACAATTATCTCTGTACTCTGTTAACCTCTTGTATATAATTCAGCATCAGTCAGATCACAGATTATACTAATTATTAAGTAAATGATCAGTCTCTTATTGGCATATATGCAGCCTGTGCGGACTGCCTTGATATTGCCTTAATTCACAAGCTTTATAATCAAAGATGGTTAGTGGCTAAAAGTGGAATCCAGGACGCACGTTTCGTCCCATTCAGGACTCGTCAGCTGGACGTATTTTATATTCAAGAGTTGACATTCACTTTGGAACTTGAATCCAGTACCGTTTGCTTCAAACACCATCTCATTATTCACTTAGTTACTGAGTAAGATGTTTAAGGTTATGCTAAGCGATATCTTACTGTGACATGTAATTTTCACTATACTATATTACACTTTATTGTAAATTAATTTTGTTATACGTTATAGTTTTTTTCTCAGAAAGGTTAGCAAATTCCTTTCTTATAGTTGTATCATAATATAAATCCTAATTTTGAGATGGTGGAGAAGATTTGTAGCTCAGGTGGGTGATTTTGATGGAGTTTTGTTCTCTGAGCTAGATGGTTTGGTCGTGGAGCTTAGAGAACAAAACTCCATCATAAATCCTAATGTTTGAATGTCAAAAGTTCGATGTGAACCAAAAGTTCACATTTTCCTCAATGACATTTACAGTTCCTTCACTGAACACTACTTTTCAATGGTATTATGCTTGCCAAAGTCATGGATAAACTATTCATACACATTCAGTCAGAGTGCTGTTAGAGGTATTCATACATATTAGTTGTATAAAATTCCACTATTTCAGTGAGATAGTTTTCCTCTTTTTCTTAGTGTGTGCTTTGGGAGAAAATACGACAAAACTGTTGTGGTTGTGTGGTAGTAGTATAGACTAGGCAACCTATATCGACAGACATAAGTAGTATGTAACATTAATCAGAAGTGGATTACGTGACAGCAGAAGGTTGAGTAGATCGAATTCAAGAAAACAGAGAGTGACTATAGTAATAACAGAAATGAAGGATCAATGTAGTTTGTAAGAGACAATTGATGGAAGACGTGCAAATGAAGTATTAAATGTATGGATTTCGTATTTTACGAAGATGGATCAGCAATATCACTGTTAGAAAACACTGGATGCCAACCCAGTGTTTTTAAAGCTTTGGCATTCACTGAGTGACTTGTATGTCCTATATTTAATCCCTAATGAAGTGTGCACTGCTGAAGAATCACACATATCAACACGAAACAGTCAAAAGTACCTAGATTGAAGTCGATGTGTGGTGAATACAATCTACATATTAAATCAATCTCTACAAAAAACAGTTCAACTGAACTTCTAATACAATTACACTAACCGAAAATTCACATTGATCTTGAATTGTATTGGTGATAAACAATTGTGAATCAGTAGAAAGATTTGATAATTTAGAAGTAGATATTTCATTAGAAAGTGTTGCTATTGAAGAACGATTATCTGAGGAAGAGAAAGAAGTTATAAAGATACTTATTGAATATAATTAAATAACATAATCAAGAAGATAAAGTACATTCATGGTTTTAAAAATGTTTATAGGCATGATGAAGTATGATCATAGTAATTCCGGTAATGTTCAAGTTTTGGAGCCACAATAATTCATTTCCATCCATCTTGCTCATTTATGAAATACAAATTAATGTAATCACATTTGAGGCCTACTTTATATGAGAGACATATTGAATTTGTTTCGTTTCTTGAAGTGAATTTCGATAATCCACAGTTCAAACTTAAGACTTATTGACCAATAGGCTAATGTTTCTATCTACACTTAATCAACATTTACAATTTGAATAGTCGAATTCATGAATCGATGCACGTCTGACCATCATTAAAATCCTGGAAGCACTTGACGATCGTTTCATCATAGTATGAGATACCTCAGAAGTGCACATCCGCGATCTTGTACGCGCCACTCGAACCCAGGACCTTTGGTCTCGTGCGCGAACACCTAAGCTCCAGACCACTCAGAAGGCATCCAGTGCTGTTAATGTCTAACTTCAATCGGTCCATGATCTTACGTAACCATTAATCTATTGTTTGATGTCGATAACTGTCCCACACTCGATATAGATTGGACTCAATCGATCACGGTTTCTCACAGGAACTCCAGGCAATCCAACTTGAAAGCAGTCACTAGTGAGCACATGATTATTATTATTAGAATAGGCTTTTTTGAAAATTGTAGTGATTTCGGTAGTTGAATTCATAAGTTGATGTAAGCTAGACCATAATTGCAAACCTGGAAGCATCGGACAGCCGAGATCGAAGGTCCTGGGTTCGAGTCCCGCGTGCATAAGATTGATTGTAGTGATTTTGTCGGTTTGTGTGCGACACCTATTCCGAAGATTTTCAGAAGTCTCGTTGTGGTTTCTGATATGCTTTTATATTTCTGAGATGTATCTATTCAAAGTTGATTGAGTAAAACATTTGCTATCGTTTTCTGGGCTTCTAAAGACCTTAAAAGAGGATATTTTTTGGACTCCAGAAAAAAACCACTCGTAAGATGTTCGTTTGTTTTGATAGTGTTACGACTTAAGATGCCGATCGATATCAAGTATTGAATTCACCAGTTATAATTTTGTCAGTTCCAGGTCTACTATCCTGTTTATAGCACATCGTTTTGGCCTACACTGTTAATCTTAAGCCAAAGTGAACTAATCACACCCTTATTAATTTATTATTTACAAACAAACATATTTGATAATTCACATAGTAAATAAAGATACACAGTTATACATAAACAAGCCAAAATTGACTGTGAACTGTTGAAACGGCTTTCGAGAAACACAATGAAGCTTCCAGAGGGTCTAAAGGAGCCGAAGAGTCTCCATTCAATCAGAACCTGATGAAGCTTCCTAGAATATCAACTTGGCATTCTATGATTGAATAATAGTATAACAATGCCTCCTTAAGGATTGGCTAAATTATAATGATGTTATAATTAATGTTACTATCTATAAATAACCATGTTTTTCTGTACATTATTGATTCTTACTCAATAATCACCTCTCTTACTTCTTTTGTTTACTGATTTGTCCGAGTACCATTAGTTGTATATCGTATTCAGCCGTAATCGAATAGGCGACATAACATAAATAGAGTAATTTGTAAATATATGATTGGGGATAAATGTGCTATATAATAAACTGCTTAATTGTATTGATAACTAGAATTAATAAGGATAAGTTCCCTATTTGTTTTATGCATCTTGTTATATGCAGATGAGAATAAGGAATGTTAAGGTTTAGGATCTATTTCTGGAGTAATATTATACGTATATTTTTATCGTAACTAATTTATTCATATTCATGTCCCTCTTATTACAAGCTTTATTTTGACCTATGAACTATTATTGCACGATTTACCATTCTTGAATTATTCCTAGTTAATTAATTACAGTCTCCCACACTCACAGTCATTTTTGGTTAGATCTTGTGCAAATGTTATTTTCTATTTTATGGTACTATATGGTCTGCTCGATTGGTATATAAATCCAGTATGTTTGAAATATGGCTGAGATTAGTGTTCTAGACTCAAAAGGCAGGCAATACTAGACAGGAAGCAGGATTGATAAGGACTCTAGACTGCTCATATGGGTTTTATGCATCATTGGTTCGGTTGATAAACCATTGTTCTCTAATTGGCGGTATCGTTATGTTATACATTACCAGGTTACAGGGCACAAGTTCTAAGACATCTTAAGTAAATAATTCACGTTCAAAATATTTAAATATAACTATGAAAATTTTAATGGTTAAGATTATGAGTCAGTTGAAGCTAGGTCACCATGGAAAACCTGAACACACTGGATGGCCGTTTCGTCCTGGTATGGGACTCATCAACGGTGCACAACCACGATCCCGCTTCGAGGGATTCGAATCCAAAACCTACTGGTCTCGCACTCGAGCACTTAAACACTAGACCACTGAGTCGATCCAACGGTGTTAATGACTAACTCCAACTAATCCATGAAATTGAGCCACACATCCACCACTGTCTTCAATGAGTTACTATCTCGTAACAGACCTGGTTGAACTCCATTGGTCACTACTTCTCACTAGAACTCCAGGATATACCTCTTGAAGCCAGTCGCTAGTGAGCATAATCTAATTAGCATCAGATGGGTTTTGTGGATATCATAGTATATTGTATTATAATAACCATGAAAACATTAACTTTTGTACAAATGAATACCTACCATGTAAACCATTATCATTATTTACATTATTCTCTAGTTCTACATTGTTTATATCATCTGGTTGTTTTGTTGAGTTCTAAAATATGAAAAAAAGACGTAGAATAATATTGACTTATTCAGACATCCCGATGAGAATGCTTAACTGCGGTGATTAGACAAGAACTGGTGTTTTCAAAGTGATATGGTCGCCGATGAGAATTATGGATGGTAACTATTGGAATCTATTTCTGGACTAATACTATATATGCCAGCTGAGTTGTTTGAATAACAATATAAGCAGAAACTTCAAGTAGAAGTGGGATAAACTGAATTATATCAATGTACGTGGATAATTGTAGATACATATTAAACTGGAATGATGTTGAGATTTCGGTTAGAGGGAATGTGAAGAAGGTTAGAGAAGTTTTAGAAGTTTGGGATTCAAGTCAATCAATAATCAATAGAAATCGACTCAATTTACCAACCAATCAAAATAGTGACGGATAATATAGGATTAAGAATCAGGTTAAGGAGGGGAGCAATCAAAATAAATATCCAGGTAACAATTGTTTATCAATAAACATTTAAGACTAAAATCTACAGGATAAGCTATCTGTCATATGTGGAGATGAGAAAAAAACCCATTAAGATTATTCCATCTGAGCTACAAATCTTCTCAATCAACCGAATGAATTTCCATGGTTTTATTAAAGGCTTAGAACCTGTTATAATGTTAAACGGTAAAAAATTCAAACGGAAACATAGCAACTGTTTATATTTTTTTCATAGTGGGGCAACGTAAGGAGATGTAGTCCCATGGTAGGCGGTGATCAATAATTGGTTCATACCACACTTGTTCTCTTAGGATCCTGAAGCCCATGTACACCATTGGTTTGGAATAAGTGTTTTCCAACTCCCCTTTGTGGATCCGCCGTATCCACCATCCCGGTTAAAGCTCCGGACATGCGCTTTTCCTCCTCTTAATTTCGTAAACAATAGTAATGCCACGAGAAGGCAGTGAGTAAGACTTCCCTGTCAGTGGTTGTATGCACATGGCCACTTGACAGCATTTCGAGAGGGTTAGCTGACTGTATCCACTCTCAGCCGTACCAAGGCATTTGGGGGCAGGTACTAACTTTTGAGAACTATGTACATAATTACAATTTACATCTATTTGAAATAGAAATTTATCACATTACTGAATATTTGGTGCTGGTGATTGCTTATGATAAAAAATGTATGATGTTTATAAGTAGTAATACACGGTGGCTAGAAGTAGAATCCAGGACGTGCATTTCGGTCTATTTAGAGGCTCGTCAGTTGAATGTACTCCTCCATAAGGGATAACAAGTATAAAGAAGTAAGTAATAAACACTTACCATTGATAATTCATTATTAGCAAATGATTTTGAATGATCTAAACACTCCTTAAATTCAGTTGAATCATTATTAGGTGGAACAATCGCTATGAAATTAGCATATCGAACATCTTGTTTTAAATATTGTACAACACGATTCCATGTATTTAAAGCATTTGTATAAATCTCTTTTTGTTGTATATTGACTGCATTCAATTGTTCACTAGTTGAGTTCCATGTATATAAACCCAATAAATATGGCCATACCTATACATGAAAAGGATTAAAGGAAATAGGCATTGTATATGAATAAGCTTCTTCATTCATGAATATAAAATTGATGGTTATGGAATGACTTGAAGTTCCTGAGATTAATGAGTATGCATGTGGTGAACAATAGAACTCTTTTGGGAGAAGAATAACAGTGTCTACATAAAATATGAAAACTATATATAATAACTACTTTATTTGCACATTTCCAATCAGTTGTTTTTCACAAACTTTATTCCTAGTTCACTTGGTATTGTTTGGCTTGTATCTTCCCATTGAGGTTTAACATTGCAACTGATCAGTCTGTTATTGGCATATGTGAATACTGTGTGTATGCCTCGATATTACCTTATATCACAAGCTATTTGTAAGCAATGATGGAAAGTGGCTAGCAGTGGAATCCAGTTTGACGCGCGTTTCGTCCTATTTGGGACTCGTCAGCTGGATGTACCTGTATCTCAGAGTTGATGTTCACTCTGGAACTCGAACCCAGTATCATTCGCGTCAAGCGCCATCGCGTTATCCACTCAGCTACTGAGTCCTGATTGTTATTACAATTACTCCCTGTTTACATTCCTGTTTACTTCAATTCAATCTACTTAATCTTCTGTTGCTAGGCCATCCAATTCTGATTGATGTTACAAACTATTTATGTCAAAAGATATAAGTAACATACTGTTATAAAGTCATAATTAGAATCAATTACTGATCTAATACCATTTCCTTTTCCATATTATTTCGGATGATTTCAATCCATAGTGATTATACATGTATTGATTGGGAAATCTTAAATACCACTAGAGTATAAATATGATATAATATATGATTCGTATTAGGGAGGCTGAGATTGGTGTTCTGAACTTAAACCAACAGAGAGAGGCGAGAAGAATTAATAAAGACTCAAATTTGAATCTAGGCTGCTCATAGTGGTTCATGCGTCATTGGTTTGGCATAGTGCCAAGGTCATTTAAGCCAGTGTTCTAATTGGCGATTTAGTCACGTGATAATTAACAGAGCTATTAGACATAACGAAAAGAATAAAACTACTAGAGAAGTAAAAATGTTTCAATATTCACATTATCTTTGAGTTATTAAATCAAATCTAAAAGTTATCCAAATCATGTAGGTATGTGGTAACATTGAAACCGAATATCGTCTTCTTGTATTACTGTCATTTGTAAATCTAGAAATTTCAACCAAGTCACAATATTGAACTGGATTAAATGTCACAATACATTTGTCTTTATAATTAGATGTTGATGGATAACTATAGGTCTAATCCTCTTTAACTGACCATTTACTGAATAAATGAATGGGTAAACCCCTAGACGTTGCACATACCCATCGAACATTGAGAAGCAAATGCATTACAATGATAGATACATGCTTTCTCCATAAAACGTTCTGAGTGAATCTCTAAATAGTCTTTAATAACCTATAATTTCTTTATGAATTCCGGATTTCAATTATTTGAACTGAGTCAATATACGAAGAGTGTAAAATAAGTTTCTACTTAAAACAAAGAGTATGATAAGAATTTATTCGATTGAGACCATGAATCGAGTGATTTTAGACCCCGATTGAAAACCTTGAGGCACTACACTGCCAATTTGACCTACTGTGGGATTCCTCAGTATTGCACACTCACGATCCTGCTCGCGGGATCCGCATCCAAGACCTTTGGTCTCTCGCGCAAATGCTTAACCTCTAGACCACCGAGTCGACATCTAACGGTTTTAATGTTTAACCCTAACCAATCCAGCTAATTCATGTCAGGTAGAGACAGGTATCTACCGCAGTTAAGCGTTCGTGAGCGAGACCACAATTTCAGGTTCGAATCCTGCGGGCGAGGTCCTGAGTACGCACAGTTGAGGAGTCCAACAATAGAACGAAATGGCTGTTCAGTGCTTTCAGGGTTTCAATAGTGATCTAACATCAATCGATTGGTGATCTCATATAAAAACTTAATAATCTCCGCAACTCCATATTGATAATTAGTAGTATGATTATGATTTACCTCATTTCTAATTGTCGGATCACAATTACCAAAATAAATATAACGACAAAGTTCACTGAATGGGATTTGCTGTATATATAAAGAATAAAACAATATAATATGTAGAATATGTGTGAATGTGACTGTTTAAAAAAAAATTATAATCTAATTCATTTTTATATTGATTGTTTAACTTATCCCATTAATGTTCAGCATTGAATTGGATCAGTGTCGTATTGACATTAGTGTATCCTGTATGGATTACTTCAATATTACCAGTAAGCTACATTCCAGAGTTCATATTTGCTTCAGGACACGAACCCAGTACTCTTTGCTTGAAAATGTTCAGTCTTATACATTAGAGAAAGAGTACGTTATATAGGTGACTGTGTGTATATATCTATAAGCTTTCGTTTTAATGTTGCTTATCCTAATCTGTTCAATCTGGTATATCTACTTTTAATTAATGCAGAACTTCAGCAGATAAATCATGGTAAGGTTTGCACTGAATTTATCAGTTTACAAAAAGTTACTGCGATGGTCAATCGGACCAGTTGATTATAGTTCCAGTTATGTGGTTTATGACAACTGTACTGTATACGTTATGGTATTAAAATAATTACAATAGTGTATTGAACGAGAACACCAGTGAAGACAACCGAATGTATTTAAACGCGAAAATTACAAAATCCCTTAGTAAAATCTGAGAAGCCTAAAATGAAATCTTCATCGCTGAGGGCAGGATCGTGGGTGGGCACTGCTGAGTAGTCCCATACTAGGACGAAGCGGCCGTCCAGTGCTTGCAGGTTTTCCATGGTGATCTAGCTTCAATTGACTCATGATTTCATCCAGTGAGATCTTCATTTGCAAAATGTCAGTCAATTGTCTCAGACTTTGTTACTCATTCGTTTCCATACCAATCATTCATTGTTCTCATTCTCTTCCATCTTCTTAACCCTCTGCTGCTAGACATTTCACTTTCGATTAGTGATACATACTACTTATATCTATCAACGTCAGTAGTACACATCATAACAGTAATACGGTTATACATTTTGACTTAATGATCGAAAGGTAACCAATAAGCTAACCAATCGGATGTTAAAGATTCATAAGTAGTTATGAAACAATTATCCGGATAACTTTTGTTTTCGCAATACTTCAACAGTGTATACCATTTTATTTTTAGGTGTTCATAATCAAATTCAGTGGAACAATAAAACATTCTGTTATTTTTTTGTTAGAATGAAAATCATGCATTCTGTTTTCGTGATGATTACGGTTGTCTTGAGTGACGTTTAAAGGTATGAGTGCGGTTATTACCTTCCGGTTCTTCTAGAGGTATCTGAAAAGGAAATTGGGTTATAATTGGTCTTAGTGACCTGAGAACATAACCGTAGGACCTAAAGGATAACTGCATGAGGCCAGTCACATATGACGTTTTATGGGTCATTTTGTACGCATTTTCTTGATGAAAGTTAACTAAAACCATAAATCAATCTTCTGTAAACGATATTGAATACATTCAAGGTTTTGCATAATATACATGTATTTGGAAATTATCACTACTAAGGTAAATAAAAGTATATCGCATGTTTTCCATAGTAATCAACTTATAGCACGGTACAGTTATACATTTGTTCCAGTTGCTACACCATGTTAGAAAGCCGATGTGTAAATAATAAAATGAATGTTATGATATTTGAAGAATAAGGTATATCAGCGACAGAAGAATAAAATGAGGAGGGTTGCAAAAGCGGGGGGTTTATGATTCAGAAAAAGAGAGTGACTTCGAGGAATAGTTATCATGAAATATCATTAGTCATGATCTAGACGTAGATAAAATTCATATGAAACTATATCACCGCTACTGATTTTATTAATGTCACCCAATGTCACAAAATATAATTCTTGAATATCTCATTGACCCTACTTAGTTGAACTTAACTTACCAATACTACTAATATCAACATTTGATGACTTCGTGGACTGATGCTAAGTCTTACTTGGTCAAATCGAGCTTTCTTTTAGTTATATCCAACAGCCCCCATCATTGTTAGTCTATTAAATAATGGCCAAGCATACGTATAACATGTCCCAGATTTTGTAATCGATGAAAATTTATTATTACATCAGTCACTTATCAATCGTTACTTACTACTCTAAATGTAATATGGTGTTAGATAAAAGACAACTGTGTTTCTTTCAGACAACTAGCATAATAGCGATACTGTCTTCCCGCAAGGAGGGGTAGGTTTAGAAATAGTCGATCCTAAAAATGTACATCTCGCTTATCCCATGGATATTCGTCTACCGCGGTAAGATCTCAACAAGTGCGGAGCTAACACGAAAATTTCTCTCAGAAAGGTCGTATGTGACCGACCTCAAGCAGTTGTCCCTTGGACACTGCGGTCACGCTCTCAGGTCATTAAGATCAAATCTAATTGTTGGGGAAATCCAGAAAACTCCTCGAAAAAAGCCAAAGAAGGGTCTGGAAATACTGACAAGCATCTTATCTAATCAGCATTCAATAGAAGTTTTGCTAGAAACATCTGGAAAGTGAAAAGTCACATTTTGGGTTTCTGATTGAATGATTATGTATACCGCTACTATATATTTAGTAGCATTGCCGAATGTTCCGGAAACTCAAGGACATCAAAAATACTATAAAAACCCTAGATTTTCTATACAGGAACGAACTTTTAGAGTGAAGCGTGTCTAGCATATTTCTCGCGTTTTCTCTTGTATTCAGGTTCTTGTGTAGATGTAACCTGGTGGTTACTAGAACAGCTTAGAAATAGAATCTACCGTTCAACTAGAAGACTTATCAATAACACTTTCTATTGAAAGCACTTAAGTACATCTTGAACAAGCACTCAAAAGCTGGGAAAACAATTGACTTATCATCTCAACTAATTAAATTACTACAATCTCCACAAAACCCCTTTCGATAATAATCAGCATATGCTTATTAGTGACTGGCTTCAAGAGGAATTTCCTGAAGTCCTAGTGAGAAGCAGTAACCAGTGGGTTCAACCGGGTCTGTGGTGAGATAGTGACTCACTGAAGACAATGGTGGATGTGTCGCTCAATTTCGTGGATTAGTTGAATTTAGACATTAAAACTGTTGGACGATGGCTCAGAGGTCTAGTGGTTAAGCGCTTGAGCGCGAGACTGATAGGTCCTAAGTTTCAATCTCGCAAGATGGGATCATGGAGGCGCACTGCTGAAGAGTCCCACAATAGGACGAAACGGCCATCCAGTGCTTCCAGGTTTTCCATGGTGATCTAGGTTCGGTTGACTCATGATCTCAACTATTGAAAATCCTTTTTTCTAACCAGGGATTTCTAGGAAAAAAGAAATAATACGTCATAGAATGATCGGATTATTACCAATCGAATTACGAATTTTGGAACGTTTTCACATATAGACCTATTAGTATACTCCTTATCTGTACCTAAACTAACCTTGAAAGTGTTTACTTTTCATGAATCTTACAATCTATCTTGATTTAGCGGATCAATTATAAGAGATCTCTATGGACTAGGAAGTATTCAATTACCTGAACTTATCACTTTCATAACGATGAAAAACTACTTTTCAGCATGAAGATTTAAAACTGGATTATTCAAGTTAATTTCATCGTATGAAGATGGAGTTTTCATCAAAAAAAGAAAAGAAAGAAACTCACTGAATAGATGTTTTATCTCAATTTGAAACTCTTCAATGGCATAGTCCGACAAATTCATGATGGGATTTCAAGATGTTAAAGAATATTCAAACAATACAGACCTCCGGATAAATTTTCAAATTTACATGATTAGCTGTCATATTCATAATATATAGTCTATCATGAACAGACTATATTATCACAGTATAAATTAAGAAGTGATCTCAGTTAAACCACCATTAGAAGCGTGGCTGTTTCATCCCAGTATGGAGATATTCAACAATAAGTAGCCACGATTTCACACGCGGGAATCAAACCCAGAATTTTCAGTCTTGCACATAGATGCTCAACCACTAGAAAACTGAGCTGGCGCCTAAAATTGTTAGTTTCTAACTTCATTTAGTGTATGATATTGCTCAATCCTCAAAAAGTGCCTTCAGTGGGTAACTATCACACATTAGACTCCACTAGTTACAGCTTCTCACCAGAACTCTAAGAGTTACATCTTGAAGCTAGTCGCTAGTGAGCACACGATTTAACAATCTAATGGTGATTATGTTGACGAAATGTAAAACAAAAAACTTACTGGAATAGAATTAGTCATTAACTGATTCCAAAATTCTACAGTTACACCTTCTTCAGCATTTGTTGGTGAATCAACTGTTAAAAAATTAGGTGATACAAGATCAGCTAACTTTTTACGGACTGTACGTAGTTTATTAAAATGATTATACCCTGAAAGGAATACAGCAATTATATAAACAATTAGTCTAATCTAATTTAAATTCATAACCAAAGAGTAGACTTTAAAAGCTACAATTTTGTATAAAGAGGTGGTAAACCAGCAGGACTTCTCAGCAGTGTTCATCCACGATCTCGCTCGTGAGATCCGAACTCAAGAGCTTTGATCTCACACGCAAACGTATAACCTCTAGACCACTGAGCTGGCATCCAGGTAGAGACAGGTATCTACCTCAGTACAATGAAAGATGATCGTGAGATTTAGTGGATTGGTTGAGGCTAGACATTAACACTGTTGGATGCCGGCTCAGTGATCAAGAGATTAAGCGTTTGCACGTGAGACCGAAGGTCATAGGTTCGATTTCCTGCGAATGAGATCGTGGATGCACATTTTGAGTTGTGTTAGATCATTGACTTAACAATATCAAAGTAACAGGCATTAAAATACAAATGAAAACGAGCACTTTCAAATCAGGTTTAAAATATTCGTTACGAGAACTATTACAGATGACTGTGGATTGTGAACCTATAAAACTTCTTTATTAACTCATTTACCGAGTATAGATTAGTGTACATAGTTTCGATCAACACTGTGTGATGGCTAGTAATAATATCCAATTGCTTACACAGAAGTAGGTGGATCAGGGTTCGAATCTGATACAATGAATGCCAAAAACTCTAAGCACTGACCCACTACAACACCGATTCTTTTTACTGTGCAAAAAACATAGTTATCACAATGGGTGTATGCTATCAGTTATGAAATCAGTAGTCAACACTTTCAACTTCAATTAATCTGTTCTATAGGATGATGTTCATCTAATTTCGATGGACATGCCAATTTAACCATTCTTCTTGAGTCATGTTTTTACCTCGTTAATTATTCATTTATCAATCTTGACTGTCTTTGCATGAGCGCATATCTGTGAACACATCTTATCCCATTCATCACATGCGTGTAGCTTAATTTCGTATGAATATAACTATTGGTTAAGGCTTGGTTAAATGGAGTTGGCTCACATGCCTTCTCCACTGCGCATCATTTCGCTTCACTCTATTCTCTTCGCTTCTTCCCTGTGATCGCCTGTCCAGATCATTGTGTACAAAATAAACGTATTTAAAACATCCTGTAGTGAACATGAACATCAATGGGGTCAGTCGAATGTGTTTCACAGGACATTACAGAAATTGTTAATAAAATCAAACAATCATAAAGTAAATGCTTAATTTGCAAAATGTCAACTGGTTCTCTCAAAATAACTCAGACTTCATTTTTCTTGCATTTTCATACAAACTGCATTCTGTTTTCATTCTTTACTGTTCGATCCTCTTGTCTCTCTGCTTCCAGACATTCTGTTCTTCACTAACGTCATATACTATTTATGTCGATATAAAGTAGCACACATCACAATCCATTCTCTTATTTTACTGATTTTGATTCCGTTATTGACTAACATGATTTAAGTCAATGACTATATACGAGAATAAGTGACATGTATATCTCAGTAGCAATCAGAAACAATCAAACTGGAGTCAGATCTTGGGTCACTAAAGATTCAAACCGTTGAGTAGGTTACCAACAGAATTTTAATGTAGAATATAGATTTCTTTTTTGTTGTTATCGCTTTCAATAATAATAAATCACATCAATTAATTGCCATAGTTATAGAGTTCATGGTTTGTGTGTGGGCTGTGATACTGCCCGGGTGCCCAAACCGAAGCAGGTGGTTATCTTAGGGGGCCACACCCCGAGCCTTTGACCTAAGGGTCTAACCCACAAGGCAGTGGAGCATCGTAAGGAGATGCAATCCCATGGTAGCCGGTGACCAACGATTGGTTCATACGCCATTTGTTCCCGCAGGATACTGGAGCCTATGTGCACCATTGCTTTGTGATCCGGTTAAAGCGCCTGTACTCACCCTGGATGGTGAGCAGATAGACGTAGTCGAGAAGTTCGTGTATCTGGGTAGCTGCATAAGTGCTGGTGGGGGTGTGAGTGATGAGATCAATGCACGTATAGTGAAAGCCAGAGCAGCTTATGCCAATCTGGGCCATCTTTGGCGCCTTCGTGATGTTAGTCTGGCTGTAAAGGGTCGGATCTACAACGCGTCGGTGAGAGCAGTTTTGCTCTATGCTTGTGAAACCTGGCCTCTCCGAGTTGAGGACGTTAGACGACTTTCTGTGTTCGATCATCGCTGTCTCCGAAGGATTGCTGACATTCAGTGGCAACACCATGTCAGTAATGCAGAGGTTCGGCATCGTGTGTTTGGGCACAGAGATGATAATTCAATTGGTGTCACCATCTTGAGACACCGACTTCGGTGGCTTGGACATGTTCTACGAATGTCGTCCCAGAGAATTCCACGTCGTGCATTATTTGCCGACTCTGGGACTGGTTGGAAAAAGCGGAGAGGTGTTCAGTGCATGACATGGTGTCGTGGTATGAAAGAAAGCTGCAAAGCACTGGCTTGTGTTGGTCCTTCACGACTCCCTGGTTGGGGTCTGAGAAATGGTGCTACACAGTGGCTAGAGACGTTATCAGATATGGCTCAGAATAGAAGCCAGTGGCGATCCTGCTGTAACCTTCTTTTACTTTCTTCATAATAGTGGTTGTGTCTCCCTTACTTGAAAGATTTCTTCTGATTGTACCTTTCTGTTCCATCGTTACGACCACACTACCTTTTGTGGTCCTTAGTTTTTTTTCTTTTTTTTCTATCTCTCTTCGAATTTTCATTGTTTTGTGTGGCGCATATATATTGGCGCTCTCTTGTACCAATATTTATGTGTTCAAATAAATAAATAAATAAATAAATCACATCAATAGTTGTTAGGAAACGGGTACTAGGAAAGGATGGCAAATCAATTGATGAAGAAGTGAAACTATATCAGTTGAGATGGCTGAGACACGTGTTACGTATGCCCAACCACCGGCTGCCCCGACGAGCGATGTTTCATGGTGTAGGAGTAGGTTGGAAAAAAGCTAGGGGCGGCCAGACCAAAACATGACACAAACCCATGAAGTCACTGACAAGTGAACTGAGTCATGTTGTTAGGTGTAGACTACCTGGTTGAGGACCGTGAGATGATAGCAACCGATGGTTAGAGACGTTGAATTACATGGTTCGAAATCGTGTGCAATGGCGCAGGTACATCTACACTTTGTGTTCTCCCAAATTCCAGTCTCCTGAATTCTCCTTATCTCTTTTTTTCTTTTTCCAAATTTATTTCATTGGATTTTACTCATTGAATAACATCTTCAAACTCTAGTCTTTTCGATTACTACTTATCCTTTTACTACCTCTACCATTACGGGACTTGAATCGACAACTGCATCTCTGTGCTAATGTGGTATAGCAACTTGAAGTGATGAATGTGTGTACAAAGTTTTTACGTTGTTACTGACTAACTGACTGACTGACAAGTTTAAATCTGTCAATGAACAAAATAGAAGGAGACTTACATTTATGAAATACATGAGATAATATTTTATTACGTAATTTCTTGAATACATCTTCATGTATAGTTAGTTGATTGTTTGATTGTTCAATAATATCATCTGATTCATGGATAAGTTCTTCTGAAATACCTTCTAAAGTAAGTCGTTTCGATAATATAGATGATGTATTGATATTATTCATTGTTCCCTTAGAATGGAAAAATATCATTGAAAGAAAAGATTATCTGGTTGAACTAATGAATTGATTTAAGTTAGATCATCATTGAAAACTTGGATATATTGAATATACAATCTTAGTATTGTGCTAAACCAAAGACGTTTGATCGGTATGAACAACAGCCTAGTGTAATCTATTAGCCCTTTGTTCGCTTAAACCGTTCAGTTGAGTCCAAAGAACAACAATAACAGCTTTCAATATACTAATTATTTGTCTCAAACATACTTGGTTTATATACAAGCCAAACAGACCACATCACATCATAAAATAGGAAATAATATTTATACAATATCAAGTCAAAAAGTGACTGTGAACGTGGGAGACTGTATTTAGTAAACTGAACATCATTTAGGAACAGTATTCGAATGAAGCTTATAATAAAAGGAATATAGATATACAAAGACTAGTTATTGAATAGTCATGCAATGACAATATATATACATAATATTAGTCCATTAACAGTTGATGGTAAGTCACTTGATGAGGTTTTGAATCTTCATAGACTGAGACGGTTGGGCTACAGGTTGCGTATACCTGAACACTGATTACCACGACGCAATGCTCACTAGTGTTGAAGATGGCTGGAAGAAAGTTAGAGGTGGTCAAACCAAAACGTGGCATCAGTCTTGGAAGTCATTAACTTCTAGCCTGACATGTTGGTAGATGCAGACTACTTGGTTGGGGTCTGCATGACTATTGTAATCAATAGTTGGAGACTCTTGTTGACATGGTTCAGAATCGATCACAATTACGTTGGGTGTATTCACTCTCTGTTTTCCTTTAAACTATGAAATTTAAACGCTTCATATCTTTCTTTCTACGAATTAATTCTTCCTTCTTGTGTAATATCTTTATCCACAATCTCTCTTTTATATATACCATTGAAGTGACTAGTTCGGTGTTGATCTTGTTGTGCTTATGAGGTATGGCAACTTGAACCGATGCATATATGTGCCTTGTCCTATGTTGCAGCTGACTGACTGACCATTGACAGTTCACAGAAGTTCCCCGTAACTTGATCTTTACAAGGATATAACACTTAGTATAAAACACCTCGTGTGCACTTCATATCCTATTCATCATATGTCCGTAATCTATTCTTATCTGGCAATAGATATTGATTACCGCTTGATTAAATCAAGTTGGGTCACATATTTATTCTACCGCACGTCATTTTGTTTTGTTCCTCTGATTGTCTGTTCAAATCGATGAGTATACAAAGTATACTCATTCAAAACATTCATTCTCTTATTTAGCTTATTTAATTTCGTTATTCATCAACCCCAGTTAAGTCAATGATCATATATGAGAATAGATGACATGTGTACTTCCATTAGCATTCATATGATTCAATTGAAGTCAGATAAGTGGTCACTAAAATAAGTTTGTCTGTTTTAATTCACTGAAGTTTCATTCAGACAAAATATATCAGGATTGAATTGAATCTCATAAGATTCCAGCTTATGTAGTTCAATATTACAATTCAAGTCATTATAACTGAACTTTATAGGTTGTATACATACTATCTACTTTTCACTTAGTAATATGATCAAATTCTAACGAATATGTTAGTTAAAGATCTGAGAACGAGAACGTTCGAGTACACTTTAACCAGTGAGTCATGTTCAACAACAAGGTTGAAAATCTTTTTCAAACTATTTAAGCTACTTAAAAATTAAATAGTAGTATATAATATTTTTAAAACACTTTGAGGTGTTATGAGCATAGATTCATACATACCATTGCATGACTATCTCTAGTTTTAGATACAATCAGATAAACATGTTGAATAGGACATTTTTCCTCTGGTATACAAATAGAAGGTGATGAATATGGTGTTTGTAATTCTTCATCATTATTCATATCATCTGTATGATTAAATGCTTTTAAAATATTCATATAGATACGTTGTTTGAGATTTGAGCTTGTTAATGATAATGATTGATTTAATTTAGAAGGTTTATTGTAAATTGTAGATGAGAAGTTTTGAGATGATGTTATTGATGAGTTTGTCTTAGTATCATTGTTTGTTATGGATGTTGATAGAGGAGGTGATAATGGATTACGATTACCAAAAATGAATGGCATTGATGGACGATAAGATTTCATGGAATATTCTGATGTGACTAGAAGGAAAATGAAGAACTTATTATGTTGTAACAGAATATATACACAAAAATGTAAAAATTAGTTGTATAAAAGTCATTGAATACAAAGTAATTGGGTGGCAGACTTAAACCGTACCCAAAATGTTAGGTTAGGTAACTTGGTAGTATTGTTGTGTGAGCTACTTATATTGATATAAGTAGTATATAACGTGCGTTAGAAGAACGTAATGTCTGGCAGCGGAAGATGGCGAAGATCAAGAAAGGTAGAGCGAGAACACAATGGAATTTGTAAGAAAATGCATGAACAATTGAATGGGAGACAAGGGATTGGTGTTTGCAACAGAAACAGTCCAGTTCGGTTTGATGCATGAATATTTTGCAAATTGACGATTGACTATATGATATTCAGATTTTATTGAGATATACTGTAATTGTCGTGTTAAATACATCTGTTTGTCCCCACCCGTGTTCTCGTTCACTACAGTATGAATTGCATTCTAAAAGTACATTAACGTAGAGTTGGTTCCATTTTCGGACGAAATCCTCTTATTGTCCTACTTATAACTCATTGCTTAGATATATATCCACTCATATTAACTCTTCCTTATTGAGACTCAAATTCAAATACATAGCTTCAGTTATTATAGCATTACTTACCTGGCTAGGTGAGTTAAGATAACTGCTAACATTTTTCAATGTGTAAAACAATAGTCTTTTATCACGAGTTGATCGTACTTCATTGTTAGTACTGTTGTAGTGAACAGAACAGCAGTGTGGACGATCGAATGTATTTAACACAAAATTACAAGACTCGTTAATAAAATCTAAATGTCCACCAATTGTCTTAAACAGACTCAGACTTCATTGTTCTTGCATTTTCATACAAATTGTATTCTGTTTTCATTCTTTACTGTTCGATCCTCTTGTCTCTCTGCTTCCAGACATTCTGTTTACGACTAACATCATCTACTACTTATGGTAATATAAGTAGCAAACATCACACTGTTAGTTGAAATAATTTCTATTTAATCGTCCAGAACTTTTAGAAATAGATAAATGCCGCAACTCAGTAATATGAACGAACACCTACTAATGTATACTACTTATATATGTTCGCTTAAGTAGCGTATTCCACAGTATCATGAAGAAGATGGGTTTGTTGAATTTATCATTTCATTCATGACATATTTCAGTAATTTGTAAAACGTTAGACTAAATCACACATAGATATTGAGTAGTGATAAACATCATACTTGTATAGTTCTTTGTGCTGATCGAATTCTATCGATCAAGTTTCAATGAAGCTACCAATCTAAATGACTCTCAACGTCATACACTATGTTTAAATGTGAGATCGTTTAAAGATTTAAACCTGAATTACAACTGAATTCATTGAGGAACATTAATCCCTTCGATACTAAAGATAAATCATAATGTGTATAGATACTGATGGATATACAATTAAAGTTTAGGGTATTTCTAATGACTCTATCCAAAATATTGTTATCTATATATACAAATCAAAAAGTAATATCTCATTTCACCTGATGTAGATGTATCTAATTCAGAAGATGGATTCAAATAACCACCACGTTGTTTTAAACCTTGTTCTAAACAATTTAAAAATGTAAGAACATGACTTTGAGCATAAAAATGAAATGGAGCTAATTGGATTCCATCATTTCGAATGAATGTGAGTATATATTGATTATCTGTAAAAGAAATAAATTATATAAGTTAAATGGAATAAATAGTTGATATATTAAAGTAAGAAAACATTAAGAAAGTCTAAGATATAGGCTAAGTTGTAGCTATCACGAGAAACAAGACTCGATGACCAAAGACCAGTAAATTTGATGACGGTGGATTCGGAAACATGGATCCTTTGAAACTTGCAGATGAAACTCATTCAGATAATAGTAGATACAAAGCTTACGCCTAATACTGAATCATGCAGTTCTTGTCCTACCACTACAGCACCACCATTTGATGGTATTGCTAACAATATCTCCGAGTTTCATTACGATCCGGAATCCAATGTCACGTTTGATACGTGGTTTTGACGTTACGAAGATTTATACATATTTGAATTCACTAACCATGATGATGCTTGGAAGGTCCGCTTGCTGCTTAAGTTGAGAATGCGAACGCTTCCGGTTGAAGTCGCTTACTGAAGACCAATTTAAGGCACTCATTTTCATCTGCAGCCTTCAATCGCAGAAGTTCAGTGACATTAGAACACGTTTGCTAAGTCGATTGAACCAAGACCCAAAACTAACTCTTAATGATATTGTAGACGAATATCAACGTTTAATCAATCTACAGTGTGACACTATAATGGTCCAGTATGATGGTTCAGATAGTACCGAAGTTCATGTAATCCACAGATGGATCGCAAAAATTACCACTCATTATTCTGATCGTGGCATAACAATATAAAAAAAAGTTGAATATATTACTAATCAATTTCAGTAGTATGTAGGTTGAAACAATTCGTGATAGTAGTATTTGATTGGATGGAATTAGAAAAGGAGGCCCAGGACAGAGTGGGTTGGAGAATGCTGGTCGGCGGCCTATGCTCCATTGGGAGTAACAGGCGTAAGTAAAAGTAAAGTAAAAGTATTTGACATCACCTTAACGTTTTTCGTTTCAGTTTAGTTAAATTAACTGACAATATCGAATATATATAATTGTATAAATACGCTTGATTTGTGTGCCTGATTCACCTGGTATCCTCTGGTCGTCTGTAGAATACACTTTCTACATCTTACCAAGACTTCTGGATCAAGATATCTGAGTCGGGGACAACGGACCAGCATTGCCTATCGAGTCTCTGAATCCTTGATTCTTCGTTCCGTTCCAAGTAAGACGAATCAGTTGTAGCATTCAAGTTAACGAACGTAACATGATCCATTCATGATCTCAGTTACTAATTAACAATTTCCACAACCCTTATACTGATAAAACAATTAATTATGTGATCTGTTTAGACAAATAATTAAGCACCATAAAAACCTAGAAACACCGGATGGCCGTTTCGTCTTACTGTGGGACATGTCAGCAATGCGCATTCATGATCATATCTCGCGGTCGTCTAGTGCTTTCAAGTTTTTCATGATGGTCTAACTTCAATTAACTCATAATCATAACTATTAAATAATTAACCAAATAAATAATGAACACACTTACTAAATTCATGTAAATGTCCATAAACAACATCAGACATTTTGATTTTGATTGCATAACCCCAATAAGCTCTGGGTACAAGAAAATATTATGAAAAAATAATCAATGAGCACTTGAGTACTCGAACGCTAGAACTCTCTCAAGTCGCAAATGAGAAGACAAAAGACAAATGAAAAAGAATCCTATTCCAAAACAGTGTTAAATATGGTGACAAAACTCTCAGGTATATATATATATATATATATATATATATATATATATATATATATATATATATTTTTTAGTAAAAACGAAATTATCTTTAACATCATCCATAGGGGTTTCAATATTTGTCCAATAGGGAGGCTACATGTAGAGATTTGGGGATATTTTTTTCCAAAAGATGTTTGGATGGAGCTTCTTAGAGCTTCCTCGAGTTTACCTGCGAGACATTCTCGAATAATATGATTCAGTTAGATGAACACTTTATTACGTAATCAATAGTGTTGCATCGAACGAGAACATAAATGGGGACAATCGAAGGTATGTCATTACAAAATTACAAAAATCTCTTAGTAAAATCGGATGACCACACAGTAAATAATTCATTTGCAAAATGTCAATCAATTGTCTCAAGCTTGACTCTTCCCTTTTGTATATATCAGTCAATCATCTCAGACTTGGTTGTTCCTTTGTTAACATATCAATCACTTTCTGTTCTCGTTTTTTTCTCTTTGATCTTAACATTCTGCCTTCAGGTATCTCACTTTCAATTGGTGATACATACTACTTATATCTTTCAACATCAGTAACACACATAACTATACTTAGCCATGAATAATGTTATAAAACGGATCTACCGGATAGTTTAATATATTTCTCTCTCTCTCTGGTATACTTTGATAATACGACAATACGATAATGAGATTAGTAACGTTATATCAGATCGTGCATTCATGCCCTAGAATTGTGAACCAAAGTATAAACTCGACAATACTTTGTTCTACGCAATTACAAGCCACCATACTCTGTGATTCTGGAATAGAAATCATTGAGAGGAAAAAATTGAGCTAAGTGCCTATTTGTTCACGTTCAGTGAGTAATTATATTTTAGTGTTACTTTATTTTATTTATTTATTTAAAAACAAAAACATTAGTACAAAGAGGTACCGAATACATATGCGCCACATAAATCATCCGATATATGTACGGGCTGAAATACAGCCCGGGTGTCCAAACGGAAGTAGGTTGTTTTCTTAAAACGCCACACACTGAGCCTTTGACCTGAAAATCTGATCCACAAGGCGGTGGAGCAGCGTCAGGAGATGTAGTCTCATGGTAGCCGGTGACCAATATTTGGTTCGTATGCCATATTTTCCTTCATGATCCTGGAGCCCATGTGCACCATTGGTTTAGAATCAGTGTTTTCCAACACTTCTAAGTGAACCCTCCATATCCACCGAACCGGTTCAAGAGCCATACATTCGGCTTTTGTCTTTTCAATTTCGTAAACAACACCCGTGATGCAAGGAGGCAGTGAGTAGGACTTCCCTGACAGTGGTTGTATGCACGTGTCCATCTAAGAGCATTTCGAGTGGGAGAGTTGACTTTCCACAGTCTTGACCGTACCGTAGTATAAACCTATCATAATAACTTCTACCAAATAGTATAAATGATAGATACATTGACTGGTGAAACAAAAGATCGACTAAAAAATGATTTCAACTTACTCTTTTTCATTTAAATCATCTAAATCAAGTCTTGAATCCAGTATTGAATCATTAGAGAAACAAAATTCTTCACTATGATTATTCATTTGTGGAGTAGTTACAGCTGAATTTGGTGTCCATTTAAGTACAATCAATTTACCACATTCACCATCGATTAAAGATAAATAACCAGGTATTGGATTTGATGAATTGGACTAAAAGTGAAAATATAAAAGGTAACAATTCTATTTCGAGACACATTTTCATATTTAGTTTTTGATTCAGACCATGAAACGATTGATGTTAGACCACCATTGAAAACCTCGAAGCACTGGAGGGCTTTTTGGTCCTATTGTGGGACTCCTCATCAGTGCGCATCGACGATCCCGCTCGCGGGATTCGAACCCAAGGCCTGCAGTTTCGCTTGACGTACTGGACCACTGAGCCGAAATCCAATGGTTTTAATGTTTAACATCAACCAATCCGCGAAATCGCGCGACCATCCCCGTATTTAGCTTGTTACTAGTCATATAATCTAGAAGAGACATGTGTTTTGTCTTTTCTATTTAAAACTGGATATATCTACAGCCTAATTTGTATAATTAGGCGAGATTATGGATGAACCAGTCAGGTATAAGATAATAAGTCTCGGATTTTGGCGCAAAGTTCGCCCATTCATTTGGCTACATAGAGTTTTGGCATTATAGTCACAATTGATTGATCACTGAGTGGCGATCATTGTCATGCGTGTCTAGTCCTTATTAGTGCAGATCGAATGCTATCGATCATGTTGTAATAAGGCCACTAGTCTAGGTGACTCGACACTGAGGGCACTATATATTGAGATTAGATGGTGGTTGGAGGTAGTCAACAGGAAACCCAGGACCCGGGTTTCGTGCTACTTTGCACTCGTCAGCAAGGTGTGCCTGTAATATTGAGGGAACTGGTGCTCTCTGGCGAATTCGATCTCGTGTCACCCACCTTCACAGTCAGAGATGTTACCACTGAGCTATCCGAGCCGCGACCGGTCTCCTGTAGGACTGAGATGTAATCACAATTGATTGATCACTGGGTGGCAATCAATGCCATGCGTGTCTAGTCCTTATTATTAGTGCAGATCGAATGCATTATAGCTGGCATTATAGCTGATGTCAGCTCGTGATGTGGGAACCATAAATCTAACCCCTATCCCTAACTATCAACTGTAAATCATAATTCTAATCCCTCACACTGCTTTTTAACCCTCATTTGGTCCTAGTTACTAGGTGGACAGTCTCAAGGTCAGCCTGGATTTGCTCAAAGGTCATCCATAAATTATAGTCTCACCTACGTTTACATCGGAAGTCAAATCATAGTACTTTAATCTTTCAGTTATGTCAGGTATTCGACCCCACGGAAAACCTAGAAGCACTGGACGTCCGTTTCGCTCTAGTATGGGACTCCTCAACACTGCACATCCACGATCCCACCCCCGCGAGATTTGAACTCGGGGCCTATCAGCTCATACAAATACATGTACGAATGTACAGTATAAGTAAAAGATTGTATGGTGAGACTATAATTTATGGATGAACCAATCAGGTATAAAATAACAAGTCTCGGATTTTGGCGCGAAATTCCTTTAAGGGACACTAAAGTGACCTTGAGAATGTTCACCGAATGAGGTTTATAAACCAGTATGAGGAATTATAATTATGATTTACAGTTGATAGTTTGGGTTAGGAATTAGATTCCAGGTTTTCATCACGAACTGATATCGGCTATAATACCAAAATTCTATTTAGCCAAACGAATGAGCGAATTTCGCGCCAAAATCCGTGATCTGTTATCTTATATCTGATTGGTTCGTTCAGGTACTATAGTCTTGCCGATTTTATTGAAAAGGAAATTTACTTCATTGAATTCTTCTTATGTTTATTAAATTGAATATGTAACTAGCTTCAAGATGGAACTTCTGGAGTTCGAGTGAGATGTCATAATCAGGAGAGTCCCATTCACCTCACACAATGAATGAAGGGTTGCACAAGATCATAGATCGATTGGAGTTAGCCATTAACACCGTTGAATACCAGGTCAATGGTATAGAGTTTAGGAGTTCGTATGTGAGACTGAAGGTCTTGAGTTTGAGTCCTGCTTGTGGAATTGTGGATGTTCACTACGTAGGGATCTGATACTAGGACAAATCATCCATCCAGCATTTCAAGGTTTTCAACCGTGCTCTAGCTTAGATCGACTCGTGAATTCAATTATGTAAATCTACAGTCTCCGCGAACCCCCATATTGGAAAATGAGTAAAGTTGGTTCGATAACAGTCAGGTTATAGGATAATAGTCTTAAAGTAACATACTCACTGAGACACTTAAGTTTGATTATTCTTTTAAAGCTATCTGTATATAGAGATACTATGAAGTAGTTCGAGGATTCTAATACTCCTTTTCGACTGATTTCAACACTTGATTAAAGCTATTATCAACGTTTAATAAGTCACCTACTCTTAGAACGAAATAAAAAGGAAACACTCAGTACAAAATTTACCGGTTGCATTAGTACATTATTCTTTCCATATAATAAACGTGTTCGTAAACTTTGATGCATTGATTCCACATGTTCTTTTGCAGCTAAAGCAATATGTTTATTTGATTTAAAATTACGATTTGATTTAGTTGAATTAAATTCATTCATTTGTGGCAGAAATGCACATGAACCAGTTCTTATTGTTCGATTAGTTGGCATATCACTCTAAATTTTTTCAAAATTATAAAGAAATAAACAAATAAATTATAAGAATTAAATTATATTACTAACTGATTTGTTAAGTAGCTCAAATTATTTGTCAAAATTATGTTAGTAGATCAGAGGGCACTTAAGATATATAACTTATTCTGTTTCATATTTCACATTATCATTCTGCTTAATGACTAGGATAGTGAGGTATGATATAGATTTTTCGACAAGGAATATTAACTGAGCAGTCAATGTTAGTACGTAAAGAGATATATTCTAAATTTACTGATGACCGTATTATAATTACGTTCTTATAATTTATTTCTATCAGGATATGAATCATCGTAGATAGTGGCGGTTGAGAACTCTGTTATGAAGGCCTGGCCAAAGTTTACTTATTCATAATGGCCGTTTCAACAGGAGTAACATGGAGGAAAGCCGGAGTTGGACATATAATGTCTTGGGGTCAGTACAGGAAATATCATTAATTGTTGTTGGAGTGATGAGTGTTGGTAGGTAAGAAGTTTCCATTTAAGGTTAGTCAAATCAGTGGTTCAGGACTTTTATTAATGACACAGAATAAATTACAGCAGCGCGATTTCAGAAGCTCTGAACCTTTTTCTAACCTTGATAAGTTTTTGAATCATCTAAAAGCAGTTTACCCACGTTAATCCTTTTGTTTTGTATAATATATTGTTACTGTATACTGACTGTTTTCTGATTGACTAATATTTCTCAAGGTCACTTATTATTCACTCAAAGGTCGTCCGTAAATTGGAGTTTCGCGGAAATTTAAAATAAATATTTGATTGGATAAAACGTAACTTCTATTGTTTTCACTAGGTTTGAAGGGGTTACTAGTTCACTTAGATTGCGAACGGAACAAAGACTCGGTGACCAAAAAAAAACAATAAGTTATCTATTTGATGCGTCCCAGCTCCACTAACTAGAAGAAGAAGTCCAATCTTGGAGAGGGAAAATATATTCTGCAAACAGCCAGAAACGAGCGATAACAACAAACACAAATCTAAACGTATTTATACAGAACAAAACCGTCCTTGAGGAGAGTTACCAAATAGCTTACTAAAAGTCGCAACGGACCAATAGCATTTAAGATATTTCCAAGTGGGATATACGACATGAAAGTGACAAGAGCGTTTTGGCGCAAAAACAAAGAAATTCAAATTTTCCGAATAAAATCACAAAATTTGGTCCTTTTCCAAGTGAATTCTGGGGATCTAACGTCCTCAACAGTTTCTCAATGTTATTTTCATGAAAAATATATTTACATTTATTGTTTCCATAGAGACGGCCCACGATGAATTTAAGAAAGCTCTAAGAAGCTCAGAAAGATCCGAAGTCATTCTAATGGTTTTAAAGAACACTCCAGAATCTCGACATTTAGTTTGCATATTGAACAAATGTTAGAAGCCACTGCATACGAGTTGGATGACCATAATAATTTCATTTTTACCAAAAACTATAAATGCCCGGATGTTTTGTGCTATATTTAACAATGTTTGGACTAACATTTTTTCATTAGTCTTCTGTCTACTGATTTGAGACTTGAAAAGTTCAAACGTTCGAGTGCTCAAGTTATACGCGTTATCTCAAGAATCTAAATCCTAAATATAACAGTCTCATCTGTAGTTTATCCTACTTATAATAAAAGATGTACGTAGCATTCAACACCAATCAAAAGTGGAATGATTGTCGAAAGAAGATTGAACCGAAGAGAACAGAAAGGAATTAGAACAAAAACAGAATTGGAAGAATCATGTAGGATGTAAAGGACAAGTGATGAAAGATGTACAAATGATGTACTTAATGTATGATTTTCACATTCTACTAAACCATTGTATGATTTTACATTGAATAATAAATTGATTATTTCTCACAAAGTCTTCAATCAATTACACATCTAATCTGTTGATGGTATTCATTACCAACTGATCGAATTTAGGTTACTATTGAAAAATTCCAAGACATGAACAACTGTTCTATACTAGTGTATGAATCGTCAGTAGTGTACATTCACAGTCCAGTCAGAGATTAAACTCAGGATATTTAAGTCTTATGATGAGCATACCTAACTATCATAACCTATAGGTTGACACTCATTAGAATCGACCTATGAAAAAACATCAGTTTCAGAACAAAATAATCTTCACAGAACTACTGCATCTCAATATTTAGTATCATTTATGTTCCCAATACTTTCGCCCTCAACTTCTAAATATAGAGTCATCATCTAGCCTTACTATCTTAATCATCTAACATCTTATACTTAAGAATATCATGGTCAATGCATATTCAAATCTATTCGTAATACAGCACGACAAGCATTCCATATTATAGGTGATATTGATAAACTCCAAGCATTGCAACTTCTTTCTTATATCTCTGTAGTGTATATTGAAGTAAATCCCTAGTAAGATCGTAGTAACATTTCATTGTTATCATAGTTTTATGAATATTTATATCAGAATGGGTTTTGTGGAGAGTTTAAGAAATTTCACAGGTTAAAATCATGAGTCAGTTGAAGCTAGACCACCATTGAAAACCTGGAAGCACTGGACGGCCGTCTCGTCCTGGTATGGGACTCCTCAGCAGTGCGCATCCACGATCCAGCACCACGCGGGGCTCGAACCCAGAACCTACTGGCTTCGCGCGCGAGCACTTAAGCACTAGACCACTGAGCCGGCATCCAATGGTGTTAATGTCTAACTTCAACCAATCCACAAAGTTGAAGGTAATATATAGTTGAGGATTGCTACACTAGAACGGGACAGTTGCTGTTCAGTACTTCTTAATTTACATTAGTATTTATAATAAATACCAATAACGATTTCGAATAATCTACTAGACAATATAAAAGAAGAATATGATTGATAAAAAAACAAAAAAAAGTTAACCATTTGAGTTCTAGAAATTATCGATTTTATTTTTAGAAAATACGCAAAAAAGAACCAAACATACAAAAAATTAATGTGGTTTGATTATATGGTAACATGTTTGTACATGTTTCACTTTTATATGATAGTTGATCGACTGATTTAATGTACCGTTTTTATTTTTTATTAATGAATAAATACAGACAACATGTTAACAATCATAATAAGAGTTAAGTACTATTACGTTAATATCAGATGGGTTTTGTGGATATTATAGTAATTTCAATGGTTAAGATCATGATTCCATTGAAGGTAAACCACCACAGAAAACTTGGAAGAACTAGACGGCCGTTTCGTCTTATTGTGAGACTCTCTAGCAATGCGCATCGATGACCTCGCCCTCTGCGAGATTCGAGCCTAGGACCTAATGGTTAGTTGAAGTTAGACATTAACACCGTTGAATACCAGCCAGATCAGTGGTTTAGTGGTTAAATGCTCGGATGCGAAACTTGCAGGTCCTGGGTCCGAATCTCGCAGGGGGCGAGGTCGCGGGTTTGCACTGATGAGGAGTTCCATAACAGGACGAAACGGCCCCCCAGTGCTTCCAGGCTTTCCATGGTGGTCTGGCTTCAACTGACTCATGACCTTAACCATTGAAAGTACTGTTACGTTACTGAAAAACTTTCTTTGGTTAGCGTTTTTTAGTGAGTTAGTTTTCTACGGGATGGAGTCACTAACCCTATGCCCAACCCTCCTCCCTTATCTGGGCTTGGGACTGGCAGTAGCTCCCGGAGGGGCTACTGTTTATGAAAAAGACACGATATTGTTATCGATAAACATTGCTTAAATATATACAACCAAAAAAATGCCCATCCTTCATTCATTGTAAAATGCATTCAGTTTGGTAGAAATACATTGTAGTGTATGAAGTATCATTATTAGTTTTAAAATGCTATGTCACAGTCGAAGTTGAATGAAAAAATCAGCTCTCCATCTTGAAACACTCTCCTCATATGATCACATGTATACAGCTTCTGTCAGGGAAGTACTACTCATTGCCTTCTGTTAGCTGGAGTGTCGTTTACGAAATTGAGAGAACGAAAAGCGAATGTCCAGTGCTTTAACCACGTTGTTGGATATGAAAGATCCACCTAGTGGAGTTGGAAAACCCTGATTCCGAACCAATCGTGCACATGGGCTCCAGGATCTTCAGGAAACAAATGGTGTATGAACTTATTGTTGATCACCGGCTACCATGACACTGCAACTCCTGACGTTGCTCCATTGCATTATGGATTAAACCTCGGGGCTCAAGATTCGTATAGTGACTCCCTGATAAAACCACCTGCATCGGTCTGGGCACCAGGGCAGTATTCCAGCCCTTACACAGATCAAATGACAAGGTGTGGCACATGTATATTTGGTGCAATTATATGCTTAAACAAATAAATTAATAATCAAAAATCCCACTAAGTAGGGTATTGATAACTAAGAGGAAAAATTGGCTACTTATGAGCTTCTCTATAATTGTTTAGTGAAACATGAGTTAACAACTGATTTAATCACTGAACAGCAGTGACCAACGTCATGTTTATCTGATACTTTAGTGTTAATCAAATTCTATACATTAAAGTGTAATGTAATCACTCTTTCAAGTGACTCAACATCACTTCCCTAATATTGAAGTCTTAGATAATTAGAACTTTATGAGAATCATCCATTCTTCCAAGATTACAATCAAGTTTTACTTATAAATATCAAATAGCAATAAGTTTAGATCACTCTAGTAACTATCCACTAACCATTCAATAACTTACTTATTTTCTTATTATAAATGCATTGTCGGTTACTGTGAAGCCCATATACCTTATTCGAGCTTTCGGACAACCCATTCTATTCATTCTACTGAGTCATATTTTGACCTTGTTAATTATTCGCTTATCAATCTCGACTGTTTTTATATGAGCGCGTAGGTATGTGTACATTTCTTATCTCATTAATCATCACATGTCTGTAATTTACTTTTGTGTGCCTATAAATATTGATTGACGCTTGGTTAAATGGAAGTTGGCTTACCTGCCACCTCCACTGCGCGTCGTTTTTCTTCTCTCTATTCCATTCGCTTCATATACAAAATATATGTATTCACAAGTCCATTCTCGTTATTTGACTTATTTAATTCCGTTATTGACTAACGCGATTTAAGTTGATGATTATATATGAGGATAGGTGATAACAAACATTCATACGATCTAATTGGAGTCAGATCTTGGGCCACTAAAGTGGAGAGCCCTTTCCACAACATCGTTCGATCTAAATAACGACAAAATTAAAAAAGTCCCACATAAACACAAACAACAATTAAAAAAAACTATACATAAAACTTACTATATTAATAAGTGGAGAACTGCCACGTTTACACATCCAATTGGATTGACTAGAAGAATGATTTACATGATCAATACGATTATCGATTTTATGACTATTGAATAATCTTCTATCATCATTATTATTACTACTAATATTATTATTAGTAGTAGTATCATTCGATATACTTGAATGATAATTCATATTTCCATTATCATTATTACCATCTTCATCTATTGAAGAATTTTCATTGAATAATTCTTTTGAAGTATATTTAGATAAATAAGATTGATCATTATTTTTTCTATCGATTATATCAGTTACATCCGATTGTTCAATGGATTGATTTAATAATTGTTGACTACTAATTGGTGGTATATAAGTCAATTGTTTAGACATTAAACTACTATAAATACCACGACGTTGTATTAATTCAGAAATTGATGGATCCGTATATAGATGATCTGTTGTTCGTGTATGTGAATAATCAATGGTACATGGACCACCTTTTATTAAAAACAAAAAGAAAAGAAATATTTGTGATAGAGTTTTGTTCTTTGAGCTGGATGGTTTAATTGTGGAGCTTTCATCGTTCTTCTGAACGACATCCTTAGCACATACTTCAGGTAGAAGTCTTCTATCCACCTGAGTTACAAATCTTCTCCACCATCTCAGAAATATTTGTAATCAATAGAATAATAACTGATCATTCATAAATTGATTGAACAATGTCTACCCATATGAAAAATGATTCATTAAGGATTGTGAAAGTAGTGCTGAAAGGTTCGTAGTTCATTTCATTAACTGAACGAAGAAATGTTTATGGTATTATACCCAACTTGTATGAGGCTTCATTTTGAATATTGGTTCCAAGCAATGAGTGCTTGTTTCGAATATGAGGCGGATATGCTAGAACAACGATGAGAAACCAAAATGATGAAAGTTCTCACTGACCTGAGTCCGCTCTCCCTCTCCAAATGCTCTCACATGGCCACGCGTATATAGCCTATGCCAGGGACGTCCTACTCACTGCCTTCTCGTGGTGTTGTTTACGAAAATGAGAAGACAAAAAAAGAATGTCCAGTGCTATAACCGGGCCGGTGGACACGGTGAGTCCACCTAGGGGAGTTGGAAAACCGTGATTCCAAACTAATGGTTTATATGGGCTCCAGAATCCTGAAGGAACAAACGGCGTATGAACGAATCGTTGGTCACCGGCTTCCATGGGACTGCATCTCCTTACGACGCTCTACTGCCTTGTGGATTAGACTTTTAGGTCGAAGGCTCCAGGTGTGGCCCCCTAAGACAACCACCTGCTTCAGTTTGGACACCCGGGCAGTATCACAGCCCTCACACATATCAAATGAGATTTGTGTGGCGCATATGTATTTGGTGCCTCCTTGTACGAATATCTATGTGTTAAAATAAATAAATAAAAACTATCTAGTAGAAACAGACTAAGACGCCTTAGCCAATTTCCGTGATATTACCGGTTACAGGTGGTCTAATACCGGCTTATTGTATACTAAACGATGATGTTGGTATTGATATCTTTTATTAACATCTAAGACATCATCTGAGAAAACATTCTAATGAAGTTCAAAGACGGAGATTAAATCACTTGTGTCTGGAGTTTATTATATTGATAAGTTTTGTGTTAATATTTTCGTTCCTAGTTGTAGCCCAGTTTTATCCCGTAATGTTTTTCATTCATATGGGACGGATTCTAAAACAGTATTCCTTAGTTACTAGGTCGTTTCTTTCTCGTTTACGTAGAAGATATAAGTGATCTTCTTCAGCAACTCGACAGTCATGCTGTCGAATTTAGTTTCTTGGTTTCAATGATCAAATTGTCTTGAACATATGCTTTGGTTTATGACTGTTCCCTTTCACTTTTGAATGCTTTTCTTACTATTTATCTTTCAGATTTCGATTCTAGCTAATTGAACTTTCGCCTTCAAGCTTATGAACATCTTTGACATTTACCTAACATAAACATAACAGTATATTGTTAACCCGATATAAATTTATTAACCAATAGGAGTCATATTTCCTATGGACAAAGTTTGTGTTAAGGATGTTGACATCAAGTTCAAATAACCATTTAGAATGAATCATAAAACACAGTTTAACTCAACGACCTTCAATCCTAGCCTATATGGTTTGACGCTAAATCTATCTCAGGTATCAATACCAACTAGACCAATTCTTCTTTTACTGTTTATTTCTCATAGAGCTGACGAATTATCGTCTTTCATTGGAGAAAATCCAATAATAATTAAATATGAGAAGACAACCAGTTAGAATCAAATTCATCAGAAAAGACTAGCTTAACGCTTGAAGAAGTAGATCCTAATGATGTTACAATTAAAGTACATAGACTAGAGAATAGCAACATCATCGAACGATATTCTTTATCATTTATAAGTTTAATTAAGTTTTTATTGGGACTCAGTGATTGAATACAAATGAGTCTTTCAATAAGTTTCAATCACTATGGAAAACCTGGAAGCATTGGACGGTCATTTCGACCTAGTATAGGACTTCTCATTAGTTCGCATCCACAATTCAGCATGTGGGACTCTCTCCGAATAACAACATTGGATGCAGACTTAGTGGTCTAGCGATTAAGTGTTCACGAACCAGATCGTGGGTCTTGGATTTGGGTCGTGCATGTGGGATCGTGGATACACACTACTGAGGAGTCCCTTAATAGGACGAAACTGACGTCCAGTACTTCCAGGTTTTCAATGATAATCTAGCTTCAATTGACTCATGATCTCAACCATTGGAATCAATTATCATTGGTTAATTATAAAACAATGAATTGAATAACAGAGGAAAATCACACGATATTAGATAGCTGATCATTTTGCTTTGATTATGATAACAACACTTGACTATCACAAGCTTCAGAAATCTGTGTTTCTTTGAAAAGGAAAACGTTTGTCATCGAAAAAATCATGTTTTTCATTAGATACAGTCTTATTTAATCAATATATTGATTTCTTTTAAACATAATTATTTTTTTCATTGATCGTAAAATGTGTCCGGACCAGAAATACCCTGTTACAGTTGAGGGTGAGGAAAGTCAGATCTCCATCTAGAAGTGCTCTCCTCACTTGGCCACAAGTATACAGCCACTGTCAAGAAAGTCCTACTCACTACCTTCTCTCGATGGGAGTGTTGTTTATGAAAATGAAAGGACAAAAAGCCAGTGTCCGACTCTTGAACCGGGTCGGTGGATATGGTGGATCCCTATTAACTGGTTATCCAGTTTAAAAGTGTCAAACTCGTTAACCTCTACATTCAGTTAAGAACCATATTTTTTTCATTCCATCGATCGATCATGACCGATCATTTGACGTTATTTAAATATAATATTTGATAGACATTGACATTAATGCCTTCCGATTTCGTCACGTCTGATTGTATTTATTAAGTCTCTGGAATGTTTACTGCAATAAGTACATTGGTAAATAGTAACTAACACAAATTGTACACTAACCAAACATCAGTATTTCATTTCTCTAGCAAACTAACGAGAATAACTGGTAAAGATTAAAAGATATGATAATAGACATTTCAACCTAATTCATTCTACAACGACTAATATTGATACTTCTTTTTGGTTCATTTGGTATTGTTTACTTGAATCTTCCTATTGATGTTTAGGACTGCAATTCATCAGTCTCTTATTGGATTATGTGCATCCTGAGTGGATTACCACGATATTGCCTTAAGTAACAAGCATTCTAAGCAAAGATGAATGGTGGCTAGTAGTAGAATGCAGTACCTACGTTTCGTCCTATTTGTGACTCGTCAATTGGGTGTACCTGCATCCTAGACTTGATGTTTAATCTGAGACTCGAACCCAGTACCGTTCGCTTCAAATGACATCGCGTTTTCTACTTAGCTACTGAGTCCTGATAGCCACTTTCTCGTGCAACAGGGTGAAGTTTAAATTCACCTGGTACTGTTTACATGAATCTCTACATTGCTGTTTAGGACTGCAAATGTTTATTCTCTTATTGGCATATGTGCATACTGTGCAGACGGTACTGGGTTCGAGTTCCAGAGGGAACACAAACACTGAGATGCATGTAACTCTAATTGATGAGTCTCAAATAGGATGAAACGCACGTCCTAGATTCCACTGTTAACCGCAATCCATCTTTGCTTAAAACAATTCTTTTAGTTTCATTTATCAACAAGTAAATTTCCTCTTTCTATGTGATTGTGACCCAGATTATTCCTCAAAATAAGCCCAAAGAGGCACTGGAAACACTTGAAAACATTTTATCAAATCATTATTAGATAAAAGTTTGCCAGAAACATCTCGAAAGTGAAAAGTCACGTGTCGCATTCTTGATTGGATATTTGCCTATTCTGCTACTATGTTCGGAAATGTTCCAGAACTTTCGAGATGCCCTAGGTAATCTTATGTACATAAACTAATTTTGGAGTAACATGTTATTCCCATTCTATGTACGTTTTCTTTATGTCAAAGCTGTCATGTAGAGTTAACCTAAAGTTGTTGGAAGAGCTTAGTAAACCAATTCAGTCTTCCACAGTCAGTAATAATATCAAATACTTTTGAACTTGAAATGACATTTATTCAAGTTAGTTTATACATTGTTGAAAAATCTTAGTTAAATATTAATTGATTGAGCGTAATCCAAAGATAGCTGTAAACTTAATTTTAGTCCAGTTCCAACGTATACCAATGGTAACATCTCTAAATATGACATTAGACAATACGTTTCACATAATACAAAATAAAAAAGCTGTCTAGTACACCTTACTTTTCAAAAGATCTTCTTGAGTATCAGAAGGGGTCTTGTGGAGAATGTAGTAGTAATTTAAATAGTTGAGATCATGAGTCAGTTGAAGCTAGACCACTTTGGAAAATCTCGAAGCACTGGACGGTCTTTTCGTCATATTGTGGGACTCCTCAGCAGTGCGCATCCACGACATCGCCTTGTGAGGTAGTAACTCATTGATGACAATGGTGGATGTGTCGCTCACTTTTGTGGATTATTTGAATTTAGACATTAACACCGTTGGATGCCGGCTGAGTGGTCTAGTTGGTTAAGCGCCTGGGGCGAGACTAATGGGTCCCTGATTCGAATCCCGCGGGGCGCGATTGTGGATGCTCACTGCTGAAGAGTCCCGCAGTGGGACGAAACGGACGTCTAGCGCATCCAGGTTTTCCATAGTGGTCTAGCTTCAATTGACTCATGGTCTCAACCATTGTGATCTTCTTTAGTTTATATTCATTACAGATGAATATTTGTCAGAGCATATTTTAAATTCATAAAGCAATAGTATACTGTTTTATGACAACTACTCTTTATGAATACATCTTGATGAGTCATGCAACTAAACTATAATAATATGTTTATTGTTGAATAGTTTTACGGCAAGTTTTCAAAAATTCTAGTGTGAAGTTGTAATGGATAAAGTTCATGGAATCAGTTATCAATTCGATGAGACTATAATATATGGATGACCTTTAAAAGATTCTAAAGTGACTCATGGAATGTTCACCCACTTCTAACTAAGACTAAATGAGGATTATAAAACAGTGTGAGGAAGTAGAGCTATGATTTACAAGCAATGGTTAGGGTTAGGAATTAGATTTTAGGTTTTGCATCACGAATTGATATCAGATAAAATGCTAAAGTACTATTTAACCAAATGAATACAAGAATTCCACGCCAAAACCCAAGACTCATTATCTTATATCTGATTGGTTCATCCATAAATTATAGTCTCATCGATTATCTCCATCTCCGGACAATTCTTCCCTGGTTAACTATAGCAGGACTATACATTGCTGTCTAGTGTTGATTGGCTTTCTGAGTCTATGTCCAACCCTCCTCCTTTACCCCAGGCTTGGAATTGGCAGTAACTCGAAAAGATCTACAGACGGAGTTATAACGGTTGGCAAATCTATGAACCCAGTTAAAAACCTTTAACTACTTATGTAAGATACATTTATCCAGATGTAAACACTTAATAGGTAGATCATTTGATGTTTTGTTTCTCTCTTAATGTTTATTAATACTTCTAAAATGTTGTTTATTTTTCAATGAGGTGACCTATTCTCTCATATATCTATCCACATAAATACACACATGTATACATAATAGTGTATAGTGTAATAAATGAGTTGCATAATTAGAAAACATTCTTAGATACTATTATTGTATCACATTTATATTGAGAAATCTCTATAGAAATAAATAAACTGTAATTTTCAGAAAAGAGGGATGGGATTATGAATATTATAGTAATTTAATAGTTAAATTCATGAGTTGATGATGCAATATCATGGATTGGTTGAAGTTAGACATGAACATCGTTGGTTACCTACTCAATGATCTAAAGGTTAAGTGTTCATGCGCGAGGCCAAAGATCTTGAGTTCGAATCCAGCGAACGGGATTATGAGTACGCACTACTGAAGAATTCCAACCAAAGATGAAACGGTCGTCAAGTGCTTCTGTGTTTTTCATCACGACCTAACTTTAATCGACTCATGAATTCAACTACTAAACTGTAATTTGATGATGAGTATCAGAAATTATTCTGCAACGAACTGTCACCAACTTATTCTGTTTTCTTTTTTTTCTTCTTTAGTTTAGGGGAGTGTGAATGGTTTTCACGTTAGAGAATTGTTGAAATTTATGAAGCATTGGAATGTTGTCTTATCCTAGTGTATGATCAATTGACAGTGGGTGGCCACAGTCAAGCTTAAAACGAAACGAAAACCTTCAGAAATCGCGATGAATGTTTAACCTTCAAATCATTGAGTCAACGTTAAATTGTTTACAGTTCTAATTTTAATGAATTTGTCATATTTCCCAGCCGTTATCAATTTCTAGCGCTAATATTTGTCTCACATTTAATCCGGAGTAGGTTGGTGGATGAATACTACTGAGGAGTTTCATGCATTATAAAAATTCATTCTTGAATGACAATGAAAATTAACTTAAGTCACTATGTGCCATACTTAAAGAAACATTTTCTCTAGCAATATCGAGATAATCCATACAGGATGCAAATATGCCAACAAGAGACTGATCAATTGCAGTCCTGAACATACATGGGAAGATTCAAACAATCAATACAAAAATAAATGAAACTTCATCCGATTGTACAAGCCATTGACTATGATGAATCAGTAACTGAATGGATAACACGATGGCGTTTGAAGTGAACAGTACTGAGTTCGACTCTCGAAGTGAACATCAACTCTGAGATACAAGCATATCCAAATGACGAGTCCCAAATAGGGCGAAACGCAGGTCCTGCATTCTACTACTAGCGATCATTCATCTTTGCTTGGAATGCTTATAACTTAAGGTAATATTGAGGAAATCAACACAGTATACCCATATACATGAAAAACATTGAAGTTTTGTTCTGCTTACTTAGTGTTTCATTTATATAAGATAAGAGACGAATTAATAGAATAAACTCAATGTCGAATCACCTAGACTAGTGGCCATTTGATCGATAAGATTCGATTTGTACTAATAATGACCTGATATACATGATATTGATCACTATCCAGTGATTGATCAATTGTGAGAATATCCCAGTTCTACAGGAGATCAGTCATAGACTTGATAGACCAATCGTAACGTCTCTGACATGGGCTTGAATCTGTCAGTTCTCTCAAGATCACAGGTATACCGAGCTGACGAGTGCCCAAGTAGCACGAAATCCAAATCCAGGGTTTCCTTTTGTCTACCTCCAACCAGCGTCTCAGAATAAACGAGAATGAGTGAAGTGTTTTTTTTATATATAAATTAATCAATTTGATGTACCGCCCTCATTTATACTTACGTATATCCCATCAAAGTATGATTTCAACGGTATATATATTTATGAGCCTGAAAGTCCTTAAGGGGAGGTTGTGAGTGAGCAGTGATTTTTTTATACCCTATATATAGCATATTGAAAGATATATTGAATGCCTCAATTTCATAGTTAAAACCGTCAAGAGATGACACCCAAAGCTGATGTTCACTCTGAGAACTGAACTCAGTACTGTTCACTTCACGTTATCTCGTTATTCATCTAAATATCAAAATTATAAACTGATCCCTACTTCAAATCCCCTGCCATAAAGATAATGTCAATCAACAATCAATAACTTTTGGTCACTTTATTTCTTCAATCCAACTCATGAACTAATGATCCTTTCATTATGTCATCTAGAGCTTATTAACTTATACATAGCAATCTAAATTGATAATTAAGAAGTATAGAATGATCGTATATTCCATAGTTGGATTAAAACATTGAATAATATAAAATAACTTACGTAATAGATCACTAATCAATTGCCCATAACAAGGATCCGCAATAACAGAATATGGTTCGTAATATTGTCTAAAATCAATAAATATCAAATATGATATTACGGTACTATTGATATTATTATCTTTCTTAAAAGAGTTAGCATTATGTAATATGGTTGAATATATACGACGATAAACTTTGATTGACTGAGACTTCGTGTAGGTTGACACCCGTGCTTAACAAGATGTGTGAGTGCGTGCAATCTTGAGGGAACTGATGCACTCAATAAGATTAGAAACTTCGTCATTTAGCTTCACATTGTGAGATGTTATCACGGAGTACCAAAAGTAGTGATTGATCTCTTATAGGACTAGGATTTTAACTGGGTAGTGATTAATGTCATGTTTGTCTAGTCGTTTAATACTGATCGAATTATATCAATTCTGTTTGTAGAACTTGGTATTAAAGTCAAGCACAATGAATTTGAACTATTTGATTTTAGGAGATCTTGTGTTGGGGTGAGATAATTACAAGAATTGGTTGCTTCATAGTAATGAACAACATCAATAATAAGCAACGTGTAGCTAAGTGAAGATCTAACGTCAGTTTATGAAACAATTAACAGATGAATTGAGTCATATTAGATGATGTACACTTCTTGATTGAGGTAAGCTAGATATGTTCAGCTAACCAGATACTGACAATCATGAAGTACTGTATAGCCATTTAAAATCAATATACCAATCTGCAATATAAACTATTAATTAAACAATCTGTACATGAACCATTACTACTTCGTAGTGATTAACTTACAAACTCCTGGAGTTCTAGTTAAACACTATGTTCAGGATGTCTGAACTCATAGGATTTCACAAATTCACCAAAGTTAGAAATATGGATTTTTCAGTACCAACTCAATGATTTAAAGATAACAAATCTATCACCAAGTTCAGATTTCTTAGGTTCAATTGATATTCACATCATCAGTTTATAGTGCTGAAGACTTTCATATGAGGTGCTAAGCTAAATAGATAGCCTATCCTAGATATGGCCTATGTGTAATATACATCTTAAAAAAGCTTACCAAAACTGAATTTTCATTTGTACAATATTAAAATTGTCATCAAACTAATGAATTATCGATCATCTTTTATTTCTAACATGAATCTATGTAAATGTATTAAGATTGTAACGTGACCATTTGAAGTGTGTGTGTGTGTGTTTGAGAGAAAGTGAGAGAGAGAGAGAGAGCAAGTACTAGACAGATACAATTTGTTTTCTTTTAAATAATTTACAGTAAAAGACAAGTAGATGATTATAACAACAACAACGGTAACAAACAAATGAGTCTAAAGAAAGTCTTCATGACACGACAGTCAATCGACTGGCTTTATTATTCAAGATTACATTCAATATTAATTTCTCTTAGATGGTTTTGTGTTAAGACTGAGATCAAATATGTATAATCATAAGGAAACTGATCAGAGATAAACAATCATGTCAACCTGTTTATAACCCATTCACTTGATAACAGGTTGGTGTAAACCACTTATGATTCAAGGCGGCCTACTTGAATATCTGACCTAACTAGTCTTGTCATCTGGATGTTTCAACAAGTGATCTGTTTTCTTGTTTGTTTTAACAAATCATTAACTCCGCCTGGAGTCCCTCCGAGGGCTACTGCCGGTCCCAAGCCCGGATAAAGGAGAAGGGTTGGGCATGGTGTTAGCGACCCCATCCCGTAGGAAACTAACTCGCTAAAAAAACGCTAAACGCTTTGACACATCATTATGTCTATTGGTTTTACAGCCTATTCAGGTGTGTTTGTGAAAAGTTTACGACATTTCACTGTGTACAATTTACATAAGAGCCCAACCAGTAACATTGTGGTTACTGGCAGCAGTATGCGTTGCGAATAATATACATAATTCACATGTCGATTCGTGATCTGCTAACATCTAACTGAAGACCACTCAATATTTTTAACAAGGATCGATCAAAAAGTAAGAAACGGAAATTTATTGAAGTACTTCATGCTGATCTTGTGCCAAAAACATAATATTGAATAAAGCCATTCATAATAATAATAAGCTTCTTTGTGCTGACGTCATGGTGTTATAATACAGTTCCAGATCTTTGGTAACATCCATTGATGTTAATCTAACCACTTGATTGAAATAGTTCTGGTGAGTTTAACAGGTACTTAAAGTTTGATTAATACTAAGATCAAGTGACTAAGTTTACCTCACAGAAATGCGGACTCTAGTTAGCCAATCTTTATCAATATACAAAAACCTCATTATATTGAACAAAGACTTGTGACCGTAGACCAATAAGCTGGCTATTCGATGCGTCCTAGCCTTGCTAACTAGAGGAAGAAGTCCAAGCTTCGAACAGGAAAGTTTATTCCGTAAGCCAACAGCACGAGTGAATCATAACAGACACCAATCAAACATATATCTACAGCATAAAACTGTCCTTGAGAAGTATAGCAAAAATAGCATACTAAAAATACACAACGGACCAATAGCGTTAAAGATTCTCCCAAGTGGGAAATACGACATGAAAGTGAAAAGTTCGCCTTTGGCGCAAAAACAAGGAAATTTAAATTTTCAAAATAAAATTATAAAATTTAGGCATTTACCTAGTAAGTTCTAGGGATCTAGCATACCCAACATAAGAACTTCTTGTTTTGTTTAAAAATAGTACAGACCTTCATGATCTTATATATTAGCTAACGTTTTCTCTGGATTATATTATACATTTCAGTTGGATAACTATTATTAACCACTGAGTGCTGGATGACTGTTTCATCGCATCATGACATTCTTCAGAACTTCACTGAGAACTGAGTTTTAGAATCTTCATTACCATATCATTCATAAAATGTGTTAACTCTATACCACTAAATTGAAATTCAATGGAATTCATTTCTCATTTCAGTGTGAAGTATATTCAAAGTCAGTAGAAATGACTATCTCGTTTCTAACATGGCTAAACTTCAACAATCACAGCTTTTCACTAAAACCTTAGGAACTCATTTTTGACTTGACCAATTATGGCTTAATATCATCAACTTTAAAGAGTAATTTTTATCTGAGAATCTGATATGCTACTTGGATAGCTAGATTTAAGTAGGAGGAAGATGAATACCACATGCAACACGTCGATTAAAAGTGAAACAACTCAATTATGAAACTACTTTTACACTTTGTATATTAATAGGATTGAATTCATGAGTCGATTGAAGCGAGAATACAATAGAGAACCTGGAAGCCCTGGACGACCGTTTCGTCATATTGTGGGACTCTTCAGCAGTGCGCATCCACGATCTCGCTCCATGAGATTCAAAGCGTTCTCTCACGAGAGTGATAGGTCCTAGGTTCAAATCTCGCGGGGTGGGATCGTAGATGCACATACAACGGAAGTGAGATATTTCTGTGGTGATATTCTTCAATTTATTGTTCTTACTAATAGTATAGCACTGGAATCATTCAAGATCAAAAGTATAATGTTGAATACAACTGTAAAAACTCTATTCAAATAAAGATAACGTCCACTGAAAACATTCTAGATTATGGAATAATCGTCTTGTCATACTATTGGTCTTCTAACTAATCTGATTTAAAATATAAATTGATGTAAATACTCAATGTATAGCAATCGATATAGAATCAATAATGTAAAGAGTATGTGTTAACAGCAACACTGTTAGATCCTGTGTTCAATGTAAGACGTGATTATGAATGTGTACTATTAAGGATTTTCGGCGAGACTATAATTTATAGACTAACCAATCAGATTTAAGATAACAGATCTTGAATTATGGCGTGAAATTCATTCATCCATTTGGCTAAATAGAGTCTCAGCATTATAGTAGATGTCATTTCATGATGAAAACCCATAAATCTAATTCCTAACCCTAACTATCAACTGTAAATCATAATCTTTATACTTCACACTGGTTTATAACCTTCATTTAGACCTAGTAATTAGATGGACATTCTCAAGGTCACTTTAGGGTCACTCAAAGGTCATCCATAGATTATAGTCTCGCCGGATTTCCCATTAGGTAACTGGGTATAGAGAATTAAAAGAAAACAATTTCATCATAACAACTCGTTCATGTACATACATTGGTATGACTGATGTGAACCCTACCCCCTCCCTTAATTAAAAACAAACTATATCATAAGTAATATTATCAACTTACAATGTATTATCAGCTAAAAATTTGACAATTTTATCTAATACTTTTTCATAAATACCAACACGAATCCAAAAATTTTGAAATAAAGTATCAGGACGACTAAAAAGGGAAACAAAAGGATAAATTTTGATTCATTGTAATTTGCATAATGAACAAATAAAGAACAGGGATTAGTGGAGAAGTAGTAGTAGTAGTGGTGGTGGTAGTAGTAGTGGTAGTATTGGTGGCAGTAGTAGTATTAGTAGTAATAGGATGAATAATGTTTCGAATTTGTAGAAAGATGATAACCACTTCGACTTCTTGGAATTGATTACACATTCCAGATGTAAAAAAAACCTGAGCTCAATCCTTTATGGAAGAGGAGACTCAAACTAAATCGAATCTTCTGAAAAATACTTTAAAAACTATATTTTACATTCAGTCAAGTAATTGAATATGCAGAAACCCCTTGTCATTAGTGAAACAAACTCATTCTAAATCATCTCTATAAATAAATAAATTTATCTGTAAATTCTCGCAGTCCTAGTGAGAAACCGTGATCTGTGAAGCTAATTTGTGACGGGTAGATACAGGTATCTACATCAGTATAATTGAAGATGGTCGCGCAATTTCGTGGATTGGTTAAGATTAGACGTTACCATGGTAGGAAACCACGTCAGTGGTTTAAAGATTAAGCGATTGCGCGCAAGACTGAAGGCACTGAGTTCGAATCCCGCGAGCAGGATCGTGGATGTGCATTGCTTAGGAGTGCCACAATAGGACGAAACAGCCATTCAATACTTCCAGGTTTTCAATAGTGGTCTAATATCAATCGGTTCATAATCTCAATATAATTAATTTGTGATGGCACAGGAAATGATCTTAAATACACCGATCATAAATCGACAGAATGTCCAACTGAGAAGAAATAAAAGTTCTCAATCGATGCATAACACTGAAGTAAATGTGCTACCTAAACAATTTTTCAACTGCTAAACTTTAAACAATTTTATGTCACATGTTTGTTTTCTATATTTAATGTTACTATTTATATCAAGTTGACGATAACTGTAAACTAGCGTGAATTCTGTAATTATTATTCTTATCAGAATATAGACATATATAGATATATATAGCGGTACTAGTAGGTCACTATTTATATGTGCCATATTAATAGGTGCAGACTAGTTGGTTATTATCTGTGCAATAATTACAAACGGTAGTTTGATATGGTAACGTCTCAAAATCTATCATAGTACCACAGATAAATTCAGTAACTGTCTTCCGTCCATACCGTTCTCTCCATTCGTACTATCTATACCAAATCTTCTTTATTAACATCAACACTGTTATCATTCCTATTAGCTTGACACATATCATGGTGATTTCATTGGATTTTACTGATGTGATGTACAATGAACTGATGAACATTTGCTTGTTAGGCTCTATGTGGAATACAACAGACCGACTTACTCAGATCAGAGAAATCTTTCAATAATATATGAACGATGATAATACTACATGGATGCCTAAACTAAAGGAGATGAAACGAGACTCGAACATACAATCTACTGGATAGGAGTTGAATGATTTCTGTTACTAAACCACTGCTTTAAATGTCATATAATTGTTTTGCATGCTCTCATTCAATATTCTCCATTCTATTCCCATCGTCATTCAATTTCCACTCATTCATCTCTGTTACGTTGTACTAAACATGATCTCAGGTGGGAAAGATCAATGTATAATTTGATACGAGATTACAGTATCTTCCTAAAATATGAAAACTATACATCAAGTACTTCAATTGCACAAATTCAAACAGTTGTATCTCACAAACTCCATCGTTTCCTCATTCGTGTTGTTATGACAATTACTCTCTGTTTACATCACCGTTTACTTCAATTCGATCTTCTCAATCTTCTGTTTCTATGTCATGCACTTCCCATTAGTCTTACATACTACTTATATTTTCCAACATAAGTAACATCCAACACAACATCACTCAACGTTACACTGTCGATCACTATCGATGTATATCACATGCATGCACGTACACTAACACTCACATACGCACACGCATATGAACAACAACAAAACAAACACCACTCTACGAATTTTATGAAAACACAAATGATTATTAGTGAGTCATGACTTCTCTCATTTCTAATTAATTATCTCAGTTTTACACGATTTATATCTTCAAAACTGATGTCTGTCAGACAAGATTAACATCCATTGTTTCATAAAATCTTAATGAATGGATTGATTGTAGAAAGTGTACTGTATTGTCGAATGAATTGAGTATTATCCATGAATTTTCCTAGTCAATGAGATATTGTAAATCAATGATTTTGATTAATTACTTGATTCGAGTCTCATGTGTGGAATTGTGGATATGAACTGTTGAGAAGTGTCATACCAGGATGAAACGGCTGTTCAATGCTTCCAGGTTTTCAATGGTGGTCTAGCTTAAATGGAGTCACGAATTCAACTATGAAAACTTCGTTATAATAGCTAATGAAATATAACTTTATGAATTATTTAGCAAGACATAAACCTATCATTGATTATGACTATTCATTAGTCTATGTCCTTGACCAGTATATCATAACGATAAAGTTATTTGTGCATCTAATCCTGTCAATCGGTAACTGAGCTTAGCAACAATGAATAATGGAAGTTGTAAAGCAGCTGATGTTAGTAACAAATATAATGTCGCTATGCAATAAGGACAAATTCAGTTGATTTTTTTGGCTTTTTTCTTGATGTAATTTTATAGTGACAACAGAAACATTCACTGTAACTTAAAAGATCTGAGAACCATACAATCGATATTTCATTTGTAACATGTCAATCAATTGTTTTAGACGTTGTTGTTCCTTCGTTTCTACACTAATCATTCTCTGTTTTCTTCGATCATCTTAATATACTGCTGTCAGGTATTTCACTTTCAATTGATGATACATACTACTTATATCTATTGGGTATCAGTAGTACACTTCACATTATTACTGACAAGTTTAAATTGAGGTCAACTGTATGAATTGAAAATCGGCAGCTCTTAATTTTTTTTAGTTTAATGGAAATCTCCTTAATTTATCAATTTATCAATCATATAGGACGAAACGTTCATCTTGGATTACACTGCTAACCATCATCCATCTCTGCTTATATGTATCATAATGTTAATAAACATGGCAATTAAAGCGTAAATGTACTATGAATACAGTAAATAGTGCCGATAGTTAATGAACCATAAAAATATATTAATATGTAATATGTAAAGGTACGGATCCTACTCTACGGAGCTGAAATGTAGAGAACTACTACAACCATCATAAAAAACGTACAACTATTCATGAATAATTGTCTACACAAGATACTCAATGTCTACTGATCAACAGTCTACTTCTGTAAAGAACAAACAAGCTTTCAACTGAAGAGGAAATTAGAAAAGGGCGTTGGAAGTGGATAGGACATACGTTAAGGAAATCATCAAACTGCATCACGAGACAAGTCCTAACTTGGAATTTTGAAGAAAAACGGAAAAAAGGAAGGTCAAAGAATCAGAAGCAGACATGAAAAGGATGAACAACAACTAGAAAGGATTGTCCAAAACAAAATTATGAATACAGTGGTCTTGAGTACTGTCAGAGTTAGGAAGGTGGTCTTCCTTTAAACTTAGAACTAATTCTTTCTTCCTTTACTACGTCCTTATACACAATCTTTCTTTTATATATTACCATTACTGAATTACCTACTTCTATGTATCCGGTGTTCATCTTGTTGTGATAATGATGTATGGCAACTTGAACCGATGCACATATGTGCCTGATTTCACGTTGTAGCTGACTGACTGACCAAAACAGAATTGGTTGTTGAATCCTATTATGTATCCCATACTCCTCCAAGAGGGTTAACAGGAATAATTTATCAAATATATGTAAGTTATATAAACCAGCTACAGATATATTATCTACCAGTGCTTGATCCGAATTCACTTCAATGTAAGTTAAGTTCATTTTACCAATAGAATTACTGTTTATTAGAATAATAAGTATATCTCACTAATGTGAATACTTGCCAACTTCTTATAAGGCAATTCACCATGAATGATAATTGATGCTTAATATTCTCTTTTTTTTTCTTTTTTCACCATGAAGGACTATAGTAACTAGTTTAAGGTCAACAAAGAAAAATGGTATTTCAATCAATATTTATTTCATTGAATTAAGTATGAACGGGGTTCGATATCAGTATTCAATAGTATCATGTTTATTTCATGTTATATTGAATTGATATTATCACATATATATATGAAGATGGTAAATATACCTTAACAATGAATGCAAATAAGCTTCAATACAAATAGATAGTAATGTATTGTTTAATTTTCAACATAGTACATGCAATGTCGAGTCATCTAGACTAGTGACCACATTGCAATTTGGTCAGTAGGATTCAGTTTGCACTAAGACGGACCTGACAATGAACACCACTCAGTGATTAATCAATTACAAATACATCTCAATCCTACAAGAGATCGGTTGTAGCTCGTATAGCTCAGTGTTAACATCTCTGATTGTGAAGCTGAGAGATATGGGATCGAATTCGTCAGGGAGGATCAGTTCCCGCAAGATTACAGATACACCTTGCTGGCAAGTGCCAAGTCACATGAAACCTTGGTCCAGCGTTTTCAGTTCACCACCAAATAATATTGCCTTCCATACTGTCCAACTAATAGTAAGAATAATTTCTATTTCCGGACAGATCCATTTCCCTATATATTGACAAACGTATATTATCAGAAGGGGTTTTTGTAAATATTATAGTAGTTCAATAGTTAAGTTCATAAGTTAATTGAAGCTAGACCATCATGCAAAACATGGAACCACTCGTCCTATTGTGGGACTCCTCAGTATTGCTCATTGACGATCCCTCCCTGCGGGATTCGAACCCAGGACTTATCGGTCTCTTATCTATATATTAATTCATTGGTAGAATAAAACTACGTACTTTATTTTGATTTGCTCTATCTATATTACTACTACATTTAACATAACTATTTACCAACATACTTAGAATTATGTTGATTAAAGTATTATCTGATCTCGATG